ACCGCGACCACGTTTGACATAAAACGGGCCGAAGAAGTCTAATCCGGTATACGTAAAGGGGGGCTCATAAGGGGTGAGCCTGGCTTCGGGAAGGTCGCCCATCATCTGATTCATTGGAGCTTCGTTGCTCTTCCGGCATGTAACGCAACGACGCAAGATCTGACGAGTCAACACACGGGCGTTAATGATCCAGTAACGCTGACGGACCACAGACAGTACATGCTCTCGACCGGCGTGACCTAATATTTGGTGATAATAGGTAATAATTAACGAGGCGATGTGATGTTGATGTGGCACTATCATGGGGTTGACGTTCTCCGAGGTTAAAGGTGCGTGTCTCAGACGGCCGCCAACACAAATAACGCCGTCCAGGAGTACGGGCGAAAGAGTCACCAATCTGCTATCTGACTTGATCTTCTTTCCAGATTTCAGAGCCGAGAGTTCATCCTGGAAGTATTGACTTTGGACTACTTTCACGATAGATGTCGACGCTTTCTTCATTTCTGTTAAACTTATTTCCTTGGGAAATGAGGCCACTTGTGATTTAGCTTTGGTTCGTAGATGACGCACGAACCGCACTAGCCAAGAAATATATCTCTGCAGTTTAGACCACGACGATACGTCATTCAGCAGTTGAACCAAATGGGAGCCAATTACGACTGCCGACGAGTTATGACCAATACGTGGTTTCACGACCTCTTCATCGTCCTCTGGGACCTCGGATACCCTTGCGACCGGCCAATGATTTGGAGTCTGGCTCAGGAAAGCGGGTCCAGACCACCAACGGCACGTTGAATGAAATGCTTCGATTGGCTAGCCCCTTGATCCATCATCGGCCGGGTTTAGAGCTCCGGGGACATGTCGCCATTGTTCTGGCGTCGTATGTTCGTGAATCTCTTCTAAACGAGTGGCCACAAAGCGGTGAAATCGCCTATTTTCATTCTTGATGTACTGAAGAACTGTGGTAGAGTCGGTCCAAAAGATGATATGATCAACGTTCCAATCCAATTCAGCTCTGATTAGATTACTCAGCCGTACAGCTAGGACGCTTGCCATAAGCTCCAGTGGTGGGATGGTGGGTTTCTTTATCGGGCAGTTACGGCACTTTCCCATAATAAATCTACACGATATCGCCCCAGCAATGTCGACAATTCGTATGTAAGCAGATGCGGCGTATGCGATCTCACTTGCATCACTAAACAGGTGCAGCTCGATTAAACGTACGCGAGACATGTCCGTATTGAAATAACATCTTGCAATCCGAACTTCAGACAGCTGCGATAGTGACTTCAGCCATCTCTGCCAAACCTTGAGTTGCTGCTCTCGAATCTCGTCATCCCATCCGACCTTCTGTTGCCAAAGTCCCTGCAGTAACGTTTTAACCGGCAGAACGTAAGGTGCGAGAAAGCCCAAAGGGTCGAACAAAGAGCTCACCACCGAAAGGATTCCCCTTTTCGTTGCTGGTTTATCGGTAGAAATGGACGTGAAGTAGAATTCATCAGTTTCAGCATCCCATGATAATCCTAGGGTGCGATTAATCGGCAGCTGGTCAAGGTCGAGGTCAAGTGTAGGAGATGCCCTTTCGCTGGCTGGAATTGCTTGCAGCACCTCTCTTCGGTTGCTCAGGAATTTCGTAAGGCGGAATCCACCTTCTTGCAATAGGGCTATTAACTTCAAGGCTAGGTCGACAGCTTGTTTAACTGTTCGGGTTGATTTCAAGAGGTCGTCCACGTAGAAGTTCCGGCGCACTACATCTGCGACAGATTTACCATATTTCATCTCGTTGTCATCCGCGGTTTGCTTAAGGGCCCTATTTGCACAACAGGGTGAGGATTTTGCGCCAAAAATGTGGACGAGCATTTTGTACTCTGCTGGGGGTTTACTGATATCGCCAGCTGACCACAGGAATCGAAGGGCGTCGCAGTCATCGTTGATCACCTTCACCTGATGAAACATAGCTTCAATGTCAGCAATCAGGGCGATCGGATCTTGTCTAAATCGTACCAGAATACCAACCAGGTTATTGATCAAGTCTGGACCCTGAAGAAGTTCATTATTTAACGATGCTCCTGCGAAGGTTGACGCCGCATCGAAAACGGGACGAACCTTTCCTGGCTTGCGAGGGTTCAAGACTGGATGATGCGGTAGGTACCAGGTTTTGTTGCTTCGCTCTTTAATCTCGTCCGAGTCGAGCTTGCGGGCGTAGCCCTTCTCGACATAGTCATCGATAATCGCCGCGTATTTCTTCTTCAGATCTTGATCTCGTTCGAGTCGATGCCTGAGATGTCGAAGGCGTATTTCTGCCACTACTCGATTATCGGGAAGTCGTGGATCATTGTGCTTCCATAACAGTCCCATTTGGTAGTGACCATCAATCTTTCCGATCGTATCCTCTATGATTTTCTCAGCCCGCTTATCCTCCACCGACTTCGGTTTGGCATTGTCTGTAGCTGTTCCGAGTGATTCCAATTTCCAGAAGTCATCGACTTGTTTGTTGAGTGTATAATCGTCCGTAGTGGTGCAGACGTTGTGGGCGGCCGCGCGCTGTAAGCTTGTACCATCCCCAATACGACCGAGAATCGAGTATCCCAGGCAGGATCGTATCGCTACCGGGGCACCAGGGCCGCCATATCTGACATCAAGCGGGATGAAAGCTTCTGGAACGTTTGTCCCGATAATGACAGAGATCCTTTTCTGCTGGACTTCGGGAAACGGCACGCCCTTGAGATGGGACCATAGCGATTTGTTGCTTTGTATCAATCGATGACGTAGCGGTATCTTTAGTTCTTTACCACACCAGGCGTTGTTCAGCTTCAAGCGTTGTGGTTTATTGTCAATAAGGGATTCAACTGCGAGGTTAACGCGAACGCCATATTGAACATCGTTATCATTGCTTACGGTTGACAGGACCAATTCATCGGGGTGGCCTTGCAAATCTAACGCCGATGCTAGTGAGGGGTCCACTAGAGTTATCTCCGACCCCGAATTGAGCATCGCATACGTGGTCACGACCTTTCCAGAGTTTCCAAATACGCGCAAAGGGACGACTTGCAGCAACACGGTGTCGCGCCTCTCCACGAAAGCCGCATTGACGGAATTGCCTTCCCCATTTCTGTCGCTTTGATCAGAACCTTTGTCTTCATCCCTCTTTGGCTTGCGCGGTGTATGCAACAACGTGTGATGTGACGCACCACATCCTTCGACTTTGCATTTGAATTTGCTTGGGCAACACTTGGCAATATGTTTGACTGTAGTGCCGGATTGTAAAACAGGGTTGTTCTTTAAACAGTTATAACAGAGACCTTTCGCCTTCACGAACTCATTCCTCTCAGCGGGTGTTTTCTCCTTGAAAATGTTGCAGCGGTGTAGAGGGTGTTTCTGGGGACAGCAAGGGCAGGGTGCTTCATGAGGTCCCTTGTGTACTGGAAATTTCTGATCGTCGCCGACACCTGTGGCCATTGTATATCTCGGCAGTAGGTCTTCTTTCTTCGCTTTGCTTCCTTTTAAAGTGTCACCCGGGGCCTTTGTCTTGCTTGCATTAATTGGATGGTTTGCAATATTCGCCCATTTGTCAACGAATGAGCGAAAGTCGCTCAATGTCGGGAAACGTTGACCCTTCTCTTCCAATTCATTTGCTAGTCCCGCAAATCTTTGCTGTAGGTGTTTCGGTAGTCGGCCGGCCATCTCCACCAGATTTCCCTGATTTATTTCGTGCAAACAGTCCAACGATTTCAATGTAGCCACGGCTCTCGCAGTTCTGTCTGCAAACTTTCGAAGCGCAACTCTGTCACCGTTTGAAATCACAGGACCCTTTACCAGGCCATCAACTATTGAACTCACAATTACACATGTACGACCGTACCTCTTCTGCAGTATTTTTAGTGCCTCGTGTATGCCGCCGTCAACTGCTTCCAGACTTGCAACTGCTTCCTTCGCGTCACCGTCCAGAAATTGTAACAAGCGCATCATCTTCTCCCCGTCATCAAAGTCTTGCCTTGCCATTATACGCCGCTCAAATTTCTGCTTGAACAGAGGAAATTCCTCGGGAACGCCGGAGAACTTGTCAAGTTTGATAGCAGGGAGGCTTTGATTGGAGGCTATTTTCTGTTGGACTGACGAAATGCCTTGCATAGCAGATGCTACCATAGTCAGGATGTCTCCCTGTTGTAGGTCGTTTACGCTAGCATATCTCTGTGGTGGCTCCAATGGAGAACAGCTTGGCTTGCTTACAAATAGAGGTGTTCTGTGTTCTGCCTCGAAGACTGGTTGCTTGTCATTATCTGAACTTAACGGCTCCTCGACAATTTTGGAAGCAGATGTCCACTGAACTTGGGGTACGCTAGGTGGGGTATAGTTGAAGGTAGACATCGAGTGTGGGTACAAATCGTTGGGTTTAGTGTAGTAGGGATAAATTTGGTTTGGGGAGGGAATAGGTGCCTCGTCGCTAATATTCGTTGCATGTCGAATATTCGTTGCGTTCATCGGAACTGACGTGGCCGATCGATTAATGGTTTTCAACTGATTTTCTCTTGCACTGTTCGGACATGACGCCGACAGACGTGAAGCTGGTATAGCCGGCGTTGAGTGAAGTGGCTTGGTGGGATGAGCCGTGTTCTCACTCAAGTTTGAATGTGGTTCTTCTCCGAACGAGAAATCTTCGTATACGAGGGGTTTGGGGATATCGCCCGTGAACTCCGGTTCAGCTAGAATGTTCTCCTTTTCTTGCGTGACCAAGCTCATATCAATCTCTCCATGTTCTTCCATTTGTTCTTCCAGTTGGACTTCTAATTCCAAGAGGGCTGCCCGTTGTCGAGCTTCGGCCAGTTCCTTTTCAGATTGTTGTTTTAGGGTCTCCAATATTTGCGTTTTTTCGATCTCTTCCTTTTCCATTTTTTGTTGCCTTAATAGCTCTTTATGTTTCCATTCGATCTCCAAAAGTTTATTTCCCCTTCGAGTTTTCGCCGTTGTTCTTGTTCCGCCAAACGTAGGGCTAAATTTGCCTTCGCGGCTTGGGCTCTTTTTTCGAGGACTGCTGAGCTTGAAGAACATTTTGTTCCTCTGGAAACATTAGATCTATAAGTGTCCACACTTTCGGCGTATCGGTGACACATGTTCTCTTTGCAAGTGCGAATTTTCCATGATTATTTCATTAAAGTAGGTTGCAGCATCGAGCAGATATCCTGAGATTTTCTGAACGAAGGCGAGCTTGTCGAGATATAACTGATCGAATTGTTGAATGGCATGGTAGCACTCCTGACTGCTCGGGCTAATTATAGACGTATAATAGTTATGAGCCTCAACGAACCTTTTCCATGAATTATCGTACTGTTGTGAAAGTACTCTAATAGTCTCGGCATTGTTTGGGTCATTTAACAAAGATTCGATTTGACCACGCACACGAGTAACGGCTCCCAAGCAACCTGCCCTAGTTCTCTTTGAGGAGTACACCTTTTCGTCGAGAACGTCGTCAGAAACTTGTTGCACACGCTCCCTTCGTGGCCATCTCGTATTTCTATTGTCTGAGTCCATATTTCATTAAATCAGCGATGCATGTTATTGTATATATTGTAATATACAGTCCTTAATTAAACGAACGTCAGGCGCAAGCCAACGGAATCTCTTTGTGCTTCGACAAGAAAGAACTCCAAACGGTCGGCTGATCATTCGAATAAAACTATGTATAGGTGTTCCGACGCTATACGCTTAGCGAACTTGCGATGTTAGTTATCGACCCCAATGTGACAAATCGTGTTGATTTTGTTTTATTCTAACAGAATATAAATACATAAATATTTACATTAATTATACGCAAACTATGACACATCACCACGATTTTACATAACAAACGTTCACATAGACGATAGATAATACGCAAAAAAACGTTAATGTCTTACCGAATGTCGATAATCCGCAGAGTTCTATTTTACAAGAATTTTCCGAGTATTTTTTATAAATTTAAAATGTAACAACCGAAACGTTCTTCCTCCGTATTTTTTACGGCCGAAGTGCATGCTTAATTGACGTGGACTCCGCTGCCCGGAAGTGTTGAGTACGTTTACCTCAACAGTTGGCGACTGCAGAACATCATCGACTTAGTCTTAAACACGACGCTGCATCACTGTGGTTGGAAGACGTCACTAGATACTCATTTAAAGTGTGCATGCGTGAATTACAAAACTTTGATGGATAGATAGAAGATATTTACGTGGTGAGTCAACTAAATACATATTAAAATATATTATGCGATAATTCAAACCCTGCCGATTCAAACACTGTTATAAACCTCGTGCAATTAAGTAAAATTATGCGCTAAGACATCGCAGCATCAGCTCAGTATAATATATTCAACGTGTTGTTGATGAGTGGAGAGAGAAAGCGCATACATACATATGCACACTGCACATTTTAGACGTCAGCTTGAGGTATTAGCGCTGCATGAATGTGTGTATTTAGAGCATATCTTGCAAAGACAAATTAATGCAGTAATAGCGAGTTATGTATTGAACAGTGCATACATTACGTAAAGTTCCAAAATGTTTGGGTATGTAAAAGTTTGGGCTTTTATCCTTGTTCCACTGAAAAATTTATGTTTTCGAAAGTTCCAGCGCGCGGGTCTTTTAGAAATTAAGACTTTAGAAATTTGAAAAATGCGCAAACTCTTGTCTATGACAATCTTATTCGCATTCAAAATAAATTATACAAAAAATATACGGCATAATATTCCATGTATATAATTAATGCCTACATCTTAAAGTAAATGCATGATTTTATTTTTTTACAATTGGATTGCATTTGAAACTCTCGAACGGCCTATTTTCACAGAACAAGGTTCCAATCATTTCGTTCGGACTTCCAAAAATCCTCCGTCCAGCACCAATTATGCACAATGCAAGGTAAGTTTGTAATCATTTTTGCATAAAATGACAACGAAAATTAACTTTCGAACTATTAAGTTATCAATCATCATAAATATATTCGCGGGTCATAAATCAAAAAGTTTTGAACGGTAATTTTTCAGGATGTCACTTTTGCTGCCAACTATACCAAACCACCAACGGTGTTAGTCTCTCCGAAGCACAGTACATCAGGAAATAATGTTGATCCAAAAAACAATGGAATCTCCACATGGATTGAGGTATCTATCCAACTTTTGGTTATACATAGAAGCAGAATACTAGACAGCTATTATATTTGGTACACTAATTCTTAGTGCAGTTCCAATATAGACAAACTGCGACTTCAATGTATCAACTAATATATGATGAGTTAATTAAGCCAGTCTTCAAAACACCTAAAAACGACGTTTTAGAAAATACAGGGAGTCTTAATATGTTACCTGAAGATCTAGCTAGCACATCTTAACTATAATGCGCTGAGAATACATCGGGGACGATCATTACGTGGCTGTCTATACTGAATTTCACCAGTAAAATGCTTGCTTCACATAATGTGCCTGTAAATTACCTCAGTATCTCTAAAAATTGGAAACTTTGCCAAGAAATGATCGTGTGGCAAGCACTGTAGGCCATTGTCAACCAGATGTGAATGTGCCTTGACCCAAGGCTTACTTCAATCGATCTGAAATAGAATTAGCCAAGTTTAGATAGAGAGGCCGACTTGAAGGATACTATGATCTAGCAAAACCTATAATAATATCTACTGTATGCCGCAACGAATGATGTTCGCAAAATACAACAAAAGCAAGTTTACGTGAAGTAGTGTTCCGACAACTCTCTGAGTGCACAGCAAAAGTTATTCGTATGTTTCTCTAACTCTCAAATAACCAATGTTAGGTAGTCCTGTTGTAAGCAACACTCGGGTAATGTAACAAAAACAAATATGCACGTACAGTTGTTCACATACAGAACTTTGAAAATAATGTTAATACATTACCCTTTCATTGTACATTAAATAACGTAATGTTTAAGGAAGATTGCAACTTAATTTTTCTTTTTACATCATTGTAGACTATTACAGATGCGTCTTTTAGAATATGTTTTAAAGAGTTACACAGCACCAATGGTTATGATCCTGTTACAATATCCCATGTTGTCTTAGGAGGTGAGATTGACTTGAAATTAGACGTTTTTGCCTTTCGCAGTTTTTCGTACTGGTTCAGCTAAAGTCTCTACTATGTCAACAAACTCAATTTGACGGATTTTTCAACGTCTTTGTTGCCATAGCAACGGTTGCCAGGCGCAATTTTTATTAGACTTTCGCTCTAGATATGTTCTCTGAAAGTACGTCATGTAGTAAGCGACTTTAATCTTCTTGAAAAACATTTAGACGCTTAATAATTAGTGTTGGAAATGTGCATTTATCAATTTTGCGAGACTGTAGGGAGCCACGCTCCCAAAACTTTTAACGTCCCAGTATTTTTCGCAATTTTCCCCCAACAATTCACGTCTTTCATACCAGAAATCTGTGATTCGGGGTGGATATATTTCAGAGGATATTGTTATAAAATAAAAACTTCGTGTGAAACGTGGAAAAACGCCTCAACAACGTGCATGGGTTATGGTTCAACTCTGGTTAGAATTGAAAGTTCTGAAGAAGACGTCTTCGTTCAAAATCTTCATTATGGAAAGCAGCCATCTTGGATCGGATTGAATGATCAAGCAAATGAAGGGATATATTTGTGGAGCGATGGCGGACCTGCCTTTTACACATACTGGGATCCACGAGTAACCACAAGTAACAGCGAGACTGAGGACTGTGTTGAGATTTCAGGAAAAGATACGAAATACTACTGGCAATCATCATCATGTGACAATTGTCGAGGCTATACGTGTATGAAAGGTATAATCTGAAATTACGGACATAGTAGCTATTTGCAATGCTTGCAATCAGGGGAAGCGTTAAGTTATCAGTTTGAGTTAGCAGCACAAAAATTCTTCTTTTGACATTAGATTATGATGAGTGCACTCAAAATACCCACACTTGTGACCCAAATGCTGATTGCAAAAACACCGACGGTTCATATACATGTCAATGCCGAAGTGGTTTTACCGGCAATGGAAAAGAATGCAGAGGTATATTTTACAGTTCATGATCAGTTGGCAAATCTTTTAATGGAATTTTTATTGACCATATTCTTTATTCAGTTTCATTTTATTAACTAATGTATAGAGCGAGGTTTTTCATGATATCACTAGAATCATCACGATTTCACTAACAACAACAAACCTATTTATGCGATGTACGTCATTCTCACTCGCGCCTGCGTACTAATGCACCAACCGCTGACAGTATCAAATTTCTGGCTAAAATGGCATTGTGAAATGATGCCATACTTTTTTTACAAATAAATAATTATTTAATTTTTTTTAACCACGTGTCATATCTAACATTATGACGTCATACCAATGGCGAGGACACCAACGTCTCAAGGAGGGGAAAATTAATGTGAGATAGCACAAGTGCGAGCGAACAGAGCAATAATGTCCATTATTAAAACAAATACTAAAATTGAATTCGGTTCTCAGAAAGTGCATCTGCAGTACTCTACCCTAATTAGAAATGTGGCGGGCGAACGAATAAGAATATTTCTATAATCTACTAGATTGACATCTTTAACGGTTCTAAAAAAAATTAAATGCATTTAAACTATAGATTCAAGCTAAAAATTATCATAAATAACCGTTAATTGAAAAATATAAAGGTTGAACGAAGGTTCTACAAAAAATATGCATGCAATTTTAAAGGGCATTCTCCGGTGGACAACGCTATCAAGTTTTCGTACAACTAACTGAATCAATGAGATGAAGAAAAAATCTGGTAGTGTTGGTCATTTCTTTAAATCCACTTGCATTTGTCGTGCGTTGACACTTGCCTATTTTCTTTCTGGTATAGATGTGAACGAGTGCTCCTTAAACTTATGTGCGCCAAGTGCCAATTGTAGCAACACAGTAGGCTCCTACACGTGTCATTGTAGGAAAGGGTATACCGGTAACGGTCGAAAATGTACAGGTAAAGTGAGCAGATGGCATGCCTTGCGCTCTGCACATTGAAAAATACTAATTTACGTCCATAAAGTAATACAAACATATAACTATCGTTATATTGTTTCGTGAATTTAGTGTGCTGTGTGCGACATGTTTCCTCCATTTTGTTGTGTGTTCAAGGTCGGATAGGAAAGCAAGATTAGACGCCAAATTAAACCAAAAAATTCACCAGGCCCAACTCTATATTGATACCGTACAAAGCGATGGTGCACATATAGATCTTCCTTAGATTACATATTTAAACTGTTCTAAGAAATACCGCGTAATGTAGAATTTCTAAACTATTTAAAACGTATTCCCATCACACCTATCGCGGTATTCTAACCAGTCGTATAACCATACGAACACCATATAACAAGAAATTTACGTTAATAGATGTGGACGAGTGCTCCATTAACGGTTTGCAATCTTGTGACTCAAATGCAGATTGTAGCAACACTGCTGGTTCCTATATTTGTCGATGTCGAAGTGGTTATGAAGGTGACGGTTTTTCTTGTCTGGGTACGTCAGTATTGATAAACTCAATGGACGACTTGCGCTTTAGACTAATTTTTGATCAAAGTAACTGGAAGAAAATAAATCAACACAGCTAGAAAGATCTTACTTAAATTAGTGCAAATGCAAAGTTTGGCTGCGAAATTTTGTAAAATACGGAAAATATAGCCATGCAAAGTTGGCATATTTTGTATACTTTTGTATTACGTGCGAAAATGTGTAACTAAATTAGTTACAAACTTTCGGCCGTAATACAAAAGTATACAAAATTCGTCAACTTCGCATAGCTATATTTTCCGTAATTAACAACAACTCCCAGCCAAACTTGGCAGTTTTACTAATTTTAGTAAGCTCTTTTAGAAAATATCCTTTTTATCGCCTATGTAAGAAATTAGTCTAAAGCGCAAGTCGTCCATTACTCTAAGGTGAACTAGAGGTGACACTAAGGCATTTACTATCACATATGCGGTCAGCTCAATGTCGCTAGCTATATATTTAGCACAAGTACGTTTCACTTTCGCTAAGAGCCTTTGATATGTCTAACTGATATTGGCATTCTGCTTACGTTATTAAACGACTCGTTGCATGTGCTTTCATATTGTCGAGAAACCGTCAGAAATAGTCCACAGTTGACGTGAGGTTATTCGTATATTTTGTGTCGTTTACGGTGTTTCTTTGCTTCGAAAGCGCGTCGTAGGCAGGCCACGTGGCCAAACGTAAATTCTCTTCTAACAAAGCGACGTGCCCTAGTTCTGTTATTCAAAAATACGCAATGTGCCGACCAGAAGCAGAGGAAGCAACCAGAACAGCTATTCGCTGGGATATGTTATTTTTGGCTGGGAAAAGGGTTGAGAAAATGTGACACATCCAACGCCTGAATGCATATATTCACTCACTTTTCTATGATCATAATAATTATACTCATGTTACCTAGTTGACCCAGCTATAGTTGACCGTGATTTATTAATTGAAACTCGAAATCAGAAGTGTGCCAAAAGTAACACGCCACTTTTGCAACACTCATCCTTTGAAACTGATTGAGATGCGTGCCAATTTTAGTGTCGTGCGGGAATCCTGGTCGCCCAAGTAACGGGTACGCAAGAGGATACAGGTATACTGAAGGATCGACGGTGACTTTCGGTTGCTCTTACAGTCGTTACTATCTGTCTGGGGCATTTTCTACTACATGTCAGTCAAACGGGGTATGGAGCAATCCAACTCCTAGTTGTAAGTAACAAGACTTAAATGCTTTCTTATTTAAATGTAGCCTCAGTTTTTTTGTATGCAAGTATTAGCATAGATTAGGCACATTTTCCATTTCAGCCGTAACGTAGCAAAACGTGGTATACCTGTATCTCGATTGAAGTGCGGGAAACGACCGCGTGAAATGCATGCGTCTGAACATGACCAAAAAATAGATTCAACATAATAGCGCGAGGCATAAAAACCGCATATATAATTAGCCTTGTTCACACAATCAAAAGCGAAAAACGTATATGAAAATCGCGACTTACTTGTTCATCCGTCTTTCATTTTCCTTTACGTTGTATAATGAGTCTCCGATTATAAAAAAGTGTTAAACAATCACAACGAAGCAAAATAAGAAGCATTTTGAATGAGCAAGTGGCTTCCAAATGTTAGTTAAATTTTACAACCGGCCCCTGGTAAATCACTTCACTCCATTCTTCACCCGAATTTAGCAGTAATCCTCAGTTCGCGATGTACGTCATTCTCACTCGCGCCTGCGTACTAATGCACCAACCGTTGACAGTATCAAATTTCTGGCTAAAATGGCATTGTGAAATGATGCCATACTTTTTTTACAAATAAATAATTATTTAATTTTTTTTCTTTTTAGGTAGCTATATGTATGGAAGATAGGACTGTGGATTGCTATTGATGTTTGGATTTTAGAACCGCTGTTTTAAGAATGAACTAAAATGCACGTAGCCTAGCTAACAGACTAACATGAAATTTTGGCAAAAACAATCATAAATGTGTAGTATAGACTTAATGAAAAGCCTGTTACATTGTGATTTAATTTTATATAATACCCCATTAAATTTAGAACGTTTAATTGGTTAATGACGATCACGTGATATTGAATAGAAAGTCCCATTTCCCAAGAGTGCAATGGAAAGCGTTCCATTGAACTCTCCAGAGTGCAATTGTACTACTATACATTTTGTTCCATTGCACTCTTAATGCTTTCAGTAAATACCATCCATCAAAATGCTTCTCGCACATATGGTTGTTGATCCATACAGTATGTTTTTTAATAAATTATATTTTTGAAACGAGAAAGTCTATTTTGGTATTATATAAAACAAATAATGAATGTTTTCATTCGTGCAATGGTAAAAATATTTTCACTTGGTGAAAGATGGAATGTTCCATTCAACTCGGCTATCGCCTCGCCTAACATTCCATCTTTCACCTCGTGAAAATATTTTTACCATGGCACTCATAAACATTCATTATTTGTATATTATTTTACTGCAGTTCGGACCAATTGATTTGGACTTCTCAAGAGTTAGACCATATACCCAATCCATGGTGAGAAAAAAATTGCAAAAATATCAACATTTTTAAGAGCTAATCAAAGGAACATGATGTAGAAAAATGACGATAAATAAACCAAATTCATGCACTCTAAAAACATCCTGGTTAAAATTTCCTGGTTGATGTGGAAATAACCCTATTTGGGTTAAACTCGGTAATCCTGGTTGAAATTCCTGGTTATTTCATGTTTTTAAACCAGGAATACTTGTAACCCGTTTCCTGGTTAATTTGTTTTAACCAGGAGACTTTAAAGGAAGAATACCTTCATCAAAAACAAAAAAAAATGGCGTCGCATTTTTGGCGATTTTTGTTTTTTCAACTGGCTGTAGTATGTCTGTTTTGGCACGAACAAGATAAAAAGACAATCGGAGTCGTATAAAGCGAAGCGAACGATACTACTTTGTTTGGGTAAGAGATTTTTATGGTCAATAATGACGTTGTTTGTCCGATAAATGAAGTGAGTGGAGTGCAGGTTTTAATACACTCAGGGTGAAGTGGCGAAGCTATAGCCCGACAATTTTGCCACGCTATGCATATGAGAAATTTCGTGTTCATATAAATGTCAGACAATTTACCTTGATAACAGAGTATTGGTGCTTACTGGTCCTTCTTATTTTAGTCTGACCATATAATTTGAATGTTTACATCGTATGTAAATTATTCAACATAACTGCATGGGTAAATACATTGTTATTATTTGATTCAACCTTGTTAGGTTTTTACATACATAATAAAAAAAAATAAAATTATGATTATGATCATCCCCTTCATTCTGTTTTGTAGACATTCCAATTAGGAAATCTGTGTTCTAGTATATGCTGAGTGAGTAGTGCAGCTATAGGTTAACAATGGAACTATCACTGTCTAGCAAAGCCCTTAACACAGGTTGACGGTGTGAGATAAGATTTCATACTTTGCATCAATTGTAGACGAGAACTTGCCTTTTTATATTTACTAAGCATTAATTACAACAATTAAGAAATATTTTCCCGCCTTGAAATATTTTCCTAACTGCTCCTGTCCTTGTTATTTTTCACAGTCACTAAATGATTTGAATAAAAGACCTCTTACCCAGTTTAAAGAGTGCTGAATTTTCTGTATTTTAAAATTTACATGCCCCCCTTTGTCATCCCCCCCTATATGGTCTTGCCTTAGACTTGTGGAAATGACTCTTCCCATAACAATAGGCAGGGCTTAGCTGGGCTGCTTCATAGGGGCAGGGGAAGGGGAGTATAGTCATATTCATGTTTATCTACCACAGGAACAATAGCCTACAAAATAAATCAGTCTCCATAAGATGAATGTTTGAATTAATATACACATGTACCCCAATAAAGCTTCTAGCTACAGCCCAGACAATTTGTAGGTTACTTGATTTAAAATGGCTGAAATTTAGCATGTTTCTTATTTTCTGAGCATAAACTCTAACTTATGTTCATTTAGAACAAAAGCAAAATCAAAATAGTGTTAAATATTCTGACTGTTATTGATATTTCAAGACATTGAGTACTTTAAAATGCAAACAAAGCATTTATTTAAGTTAGGGACTGTACCATACCTTTAAAATATCCCTAAAAATTATAAAGCCCCACCCCTTAATTCTTCCCATTTGGATATATCCAGACCTTCTAAATGTAAACAAAAAATTAACTGATTAACACTACTTTGGTTCACTATAGATTTAAATGAATATGAGTTAGCGTTTATGTTCATAAAAATTAGAAGCATACTAAATTTCAGCAATTTTAAAATGAGTAGCCTACCCATTGTTATGAGTGGAACCGATGCACAGAACTTTTATATATCCCTCTAAAGCCGGGCCGCACACGACACAATTTTCGTCGTACGATTTTAGTCAGTCGACTAAATCCTTGCATGTGCGATGTCGTTTTTTATCGATTTTTAATATCTGGCGATTAAAATCATACCTTTACATTCGATATAATATCGAGCGTTCTTTACGTATACTAGTACACATATATAGTATTTTAGGTTCATTTTGTTTGACTGTGCCAAACCAAATTAAAACAGATTAAATGACGTAATGGGTAAATGCCGTAGTGGAGGAAATTTTCTTCGGGTATACGTTCCTAATCCCCGTAAGTACAAGCCAATGAAAACCGAGGAGTTTATACGAATAAGCTCCCAACCTGACTTTTCGCGCTCTTTTGTGTTTTTTTTTCATTTAAGTTTTTCGTTCAAACGAACTATCGAAGTATTCCGCAAAAAAATACGCCATAAAAATAGTTATATGGATAGATTTGTATCGGAGAAACTCAAGGAATGGAACCTTCTTTGCTTGCAAGAAATATTTGAAGGTAGGATCAATACAAACTTGCGGTTTTTGCATTTATTTTCCACTTGTAAATATGTTTTCAGACAGAAGACATGACTATATATGTGGCTTTTAACATTTGAAATATTCGAAAAATTGTTGAAAATATTTGATAGTTGTGTATAATTAATGCTCCACGCCTCTACCAAGGCACTTTTCAAGACAGACGACAACTTATGGTTGCATTTTAAAGATATTTGAAGGCCATTTTAATACGCCACGCACTTACTGCAAGATTTGCTTCGCACTTTTTACTCTCTTCTTTGACTATACATGTATTTGTATTTGACAAAAAAAGGAAGCTTGTTGCTTTTGAATTGTTATTACTATATTTTTGCTGAATATTTAAAACAATGTTGTTTTTATGCAATGTCAATGCTCTGTCAATGCTTGAATATGAAAATATTTTTTTATTTGACATTATGATTTTAAATATCTGTGAATCAACTGCAAATATTTCTTTCAATAGATTGAGCCCAATATTTTCTAAAGTGCTTTAATTTAGGTTCTTTCTTAAGTTGGGGGCCCCTTCAGGTTCGGGGCCTGGGACAAAATGCTCCCCTCTCCGTGGCCGTATGGTGTTGGCAGGCACTGTAACAATATTAGAAAAGATTACAAAAATAATAATAGGAGGAAATTGCACACTTCTATTATATATGCATGATAAAATACCAATAATTTTGCACTTCTCATTTAATGAAGTTATTTTCCATTATTATAGAGAATATGATTGACAAAGAAGCTTTGGAACTCTTAGATGAAGCATCTGTAAAGGAAATGGTTGTAGCTATTGGGCCTAGACAAAAGCTGCTAAAATGTTGGTGAAAGAAAAGGTATACATATAAAGCATTGTTTTCTTGTCGATGAACAATGGGCTACATTTGCTCTAGGTGTGATAAAGTAGTGCATGGAGATGGAAATCGTCTTATTTGGCATATCAGGAATCGACATGCTTTAATGTCAGGCCGTATGTTCACCTGCCCAATTACGTGTGGGCAAGATGGATGCATGCAAACATTTCGGTTTTCTGTTGCTTTAAAACGTCACATCGAAAATAAACACAAAAATATCGATCCTAATTGTGATGATCGCGAGAACAATGGCGATTATGAAAACAATGATGATAGTGATGAAAATCCTCCCAATAATGGGCCCTTTGATGACATTCCTCCTCTCAATATTGATAACATGAGATCTCAGATTCTTAGTCGAGTCGAAGTCACTGAACTGGCGGCATCTACAATTGCTAAGTTGAAGTCGTCAAGCAGTGTTGTCCAATCAACAGTAGATAATGTTGTTAGTGAGAGCTCAGACATGTTTTCGCAGATGATCGAGTCATTAAAGAACAAAACTGAACAACTATTAGATAATAAAGGTATAGCTAATGAAGATCCCGAAAGACAAGATCTTATACAAATGTTCCACGATTTCCAACATCCTTTTGAACAGTTAGGTACTGTCTATCAACAGCAGAAGTATTTTAGTCAGACCGGTCATTTTATAAAACCCCAAGAGGTACCTTTTGCCATTGCTTATTATCCACGCAGCAACCCAAACACTGGCCATGTTGATCAAGTGGCAAGACACGTCACATTTCAGTACATTCCTCTCAAGAAACTTCTCAAGAACATTTTGGAAAGTAAAGGGTTCATGAGAGCTGTCTTCGAATACCAACCAAGTGATGACGGAGTTATGCGAGACTTCCATGACGGAGAATTTTGTCGCGGCCATGTCTTTTTTTCGAATTCGAGAAACATTGCCTTGCTTTTATATGTGGACGACTGCGAAATTGCAAACCCACTCGGATCAAAAGCAGGTATACACAAGATAGGTGTTGTATACTGTACAATCCTCAATTTACCACCAAAATTTCGATCCTCTTTATGTAATTGCTACTTAGTTGGACTGTATAATTCAGGCGATGTTAAAACCTACGGCTTTGATCCTATTTTGCAACCTCTGGTGGAAGATATTAAAGAACTAGAAACGGACGGTCTTCAAATAGATACAGATGTGTTCCAAGGCAGGATTCAAATTAGTGTTGCACAGGTAACTGGTGACAACTTAGGTGTTAATGGTATATGTGGTTTTGTGGAATGCTTTCTCAGTCACCATTTTTGCAGAAACTGCAAAATGCATATCCAAGAAATGCGTAGAGCACTAACAGCGAACAATGAGCTACTTCGTAATGTCGACAACTATGGTGAAGATTTATTACGAAATGATCCCACTTCAACGGGTGTAAAAGCTGCGTGTCTTTTGAACAATGTTGAAAACTTTCATGTTACAACAAACAATGCACCTGATGTGATGCACGATTTGCTTGAGGGTGTTTGTGGACTGGAGGTTCATGTTGTTCTTGGCAATCTTATCCAAGCAGGGTTTTTTGATCTTGACACTCTAAACAGCAGAATCACCAGTTTCGATTATGCACCATGCGATTCCAAGAACAAACCATCACCCATCAGTAATAATAAGATTCAACACCCAGATGGTGCAACAGGCCAGACAGCATCGCAAATGTGGTGTCTCATTCGCTATCTCCCACTTATGATTGCAGATCTAGTTCCAGAGGGTAATGAACACTTAGAGCTCATTCTTCTCCTTCTTGAGTGTATGGACTTCATCTTCTGCCCAGAAATTACTACACAGGAGACATATTTTCTAAAACAACTTATAAAAGACCATCATGATTACTTTCTGCAGATATGTCCCAATCGCAATTTGAAGCCAAAGCACCATTTCATGACACATTATCCACAACAAATACGTCTACTTGGCCCACTAATAAACTATTGGACAATGCGATTTGAGGCCAAGCATCGGTTTTTCAAAAGACTTGGCCACATTGTTTGCAATTATCGTAATATTCTAAAAACATTGGCAGAGAGGCAGCAGATGTTTTTATGCTACAACCTGATGTGTGGAAAGGAGCTTATCGACAGGGATATTGAAATTGGGCCAGGAACCTCTACCCTAGTTGCCTCTTTGGAAAAAGCAGAGTTTTTGAGCACTGCCCTTCATGTAAATCTCTTCAGTGAGGTATATGTTGCTAAATGGTGTGTAGTCAATGGAATAAAGTACTCAAGAAATGTGTTGGTTATCACAGGAAAATCAGAAGATGGCCTGCCCATATTTCAGGAAATTATTTTCATCATTTGTGATGGAAGTCATGTCAGACTTGTTACAGCACTCTGGGAAACCATTAAATATGAGCGACATACTCATACCTACGTTGTTACAAAATCAGCTGAACCAGTTTGGTCTATAACTCTGGTGGATAATATATATGATCGACAAGCATACCATGCATCAAAGGCTTATAAAGGAGATTGGCTCAATTATGTTACCATACGCCACAGAATACATTGATAGGTTGGGCACTTATTACCAACATATTAGGGCCTGCTTATATGGTCCTGTCTAGCCAGGACGGGATGTTTTTATCCCGCTTGTCTGCTACGTACAGCTATGATATAACAAGGTTGCTACAAGCTTGACAACACAAGATTGTAAAAATATTGTTATATTATGCATATGTACTGTGCAGTCTTGTTAGGACAGCCTTGTAACAAGTTGGATGATTAAACAAGCATGTTATTTTACAACTTGCAAACAAGTTTCCCAATACTTTTCAATAGCTTGTTTGCAGTCTTGTTTCATACAACTTACAAACAGAAGTGTAAGGCCAGCTATTCCCTGGGGCTTGGTTGTATATCTATCTATAACATGTATTTGTGTACAATTCATATTTTAGTTCCTTCCTGGGACTTCTGTGACAACAGTGAGTGCTGAGACACCTGTGGCAGTGGCAGTGAGGACTGAGATGTCCAGTACAGCAAGTTCTTCCAATAGGAATTTTGTAAGCTTAGAATTTTCACAATTATGCATTAGAGAGGTTAAGATACCGCAGTTCCAGTGTACGGGTACCCTTATTTTGTGCTATGAATATCCATCAGTGTTTCTCAATTTTTTCGAAGATTATCTTGACAATTATTTTCCAGTAGACTTGAGGCAAGCATGATTTGTATCTTGAAACGTGCAAAAAACAAGAAATTCCAATAAACAAAATATGGCTACCCGTACCTGTATACCGAAACCGGGGTTCTTAACCTCTCTATTAATTACCATAGCCTTGATGCCCAATATGCATTCCATGTAAGTTCCATGCTGGATTTGGCAGTGTCGAAATTTTAGTGTTATAATTCGATGAGAAAAAGCAAAAGAAATTCAAATTTAGTAATATTTACATACAAACACAAATTTTTAGTATGGTCCCCTCCACCATTACAACTTCTCGATCTTGTGTCAATTCACCGGCAAGACATTCATGATTCTGCCCCCGGAATTCTCCCGGTTAAACATTGAACTTTTCTGCAGATTTCAGCTATAAATTTTACATTACAGGCTTCAGATTCATCAAAACACAAAGAAATCAATGCAAAGAAATTAAAGGCTGATTTTGTATGTTCCATATTAATAATAATCACCGACTATATACTTAATGTTATATTACATATACTTAATGTTATACGTAATATTTTAGTTTGGCATTATTATAATGCTAATTAATTAACATTAATGTCAACTATATTTAGAGCATCCGATCAATTCTTGAAAATTCTGCACTTGGCGAAGAAATCCTGTTTGAATTGGATAACGGGAGACTACCCAGAAAACAGAGATTGAAGATGGTTCAGGTTCTTGTAGCCGAGATGATTGAGAGATTTGGGGACAGGTTGCAATTAATTATACTCTACATATACTGTACAACGTATTACATAATCAAAATCAAAAATACAATTTTTTGACATTAAAAGATGGCATACAGTATCTTTTGTTCATTCATAGAATTTAGAGTTCTTAAATATAGCCATTCTTTGATTATTTCAACAGGCCACGAGCAGATGTAAAAGTGTCCATGGCCAGAGCTGTAGTTGAGGAATTCCCCTTTCTTAAGGATGAAGAAGGCCAAGGATTTGTAAGCTTTAATGACAACCATAACATTGAACAACTTTTTTTTCTAATTTAATTCGCCCAAGACATTAAAATTACACAAATATAAAGAAATAAATATCGCAAGTCAACATGAATGTTGCCCATCAATATACATAATTCAAATGTTTTGCAGGAAGCTTGGTACACTCCTGGGATGGGCATTCATTCAGCTACAGGGTGGCTTGAAGAGAAATTGAGAAATGTCAGAAGACGCTCAACAGAGGGGAAAAAAGTTGGTGTGTCAACTAGTGCGCCAAGCTCTAAGCTTGTTAAAGTTGGTGCATTACCAGGTAAAAAGGCCATTGCATCCCATACTTTGTACAGTGAGCGTAATTCCCACCAGCGCAGTGACCGAATGACAGCAATTCAAAATATAAATGGTACAGCACAATGAACGTAACGTAATCTGTTTTCCCTATCTCAGAATGCATAAGTGATGATGAATACATGGGAATGGTAGAATGGTTAAAGCATCACATCGAACCACTCAGCAAAGTAAAGCAATACATGAAGAAAACATCAATCAGTCGTGCTGCATGGATTAAGGAAAACCCTCAACTATCAGTCTGTGATATACTGAAAGAACATCCAAGGTTGTTCGACATACCTGGTATGGTGAGTATTGTACACAGGAAAATTTAACAGGAAATTCCTATCCTAGAATGTGAACATGAAGATATTCTTTCTTCATCTATGGAGTGGCATTGCCTGGAAGGACTGTCATCACAATAAAATGGAGATAGGATGGCATAATTATACCACACCATTTAACTGTTTGTTTATTTACCTATCTAGATTGAAATAGACTTTGAAGAAATATTTGGTGAAGTTGCAGATAATCTTTTCCTAAAATGGACACCATCTTTTGCTGAAAAAGTTATTGCCTATGCTAACAGCCAAGCAAATTGGCACAGTTACCTCCATGTTGACATGCAGAAAGTCAACACTGGTAAGCTGCTGTAAAGCATGTTTTGTCTTTTCTGTCACACAGAACATTTACTGCAATTAGCAAGCAGTTTGTTCTACAATGATGAAAATAATTAATACTTTTTCTTCTAGATGAGGAAAAACAAAATGTTGCAATTGTGCTCTTACCAGCAATATTTCCTACTGGACGCAAAGGGAAAAAGAAAAGCACCATTGATGATGCTATCAAGGTTTTTGTTGATGTTCAACCAGTAAGCATGATTTTGTATCTATGAATATTTATTCTTATTTATTTTGAAGCTAATCCATGAATTTAATGGAGTACATTATACCTACACTATTTAGGCCACTCTCTATATTGGGGAATTAACATCTACATCTGCCTTAAATTAAGCATTTAGTACTCGCATACATAAATTAGTGTATAATTATCCAACTTATATTATAAATGTCAACATGATGAGTAAAATTCTCAATCTGCAGAAACCAAACTGTAGACTCAGAGGTACTGAAAACTAGTCTGATGACTGCTCTTTAACTGCTTTGATTTAATTTGGAATTTTCCCCAATATAAATAGATTGGTACCAACATGCCAAAATATCTTGAGGAAAACTCCACTGATGAGCCACAGGTTCTGGTTCATGGAAGTGTCACCAGTCCTCAACAAGTGTTTGTTGTTAGCAAAGGCAGAGCATTGGAGAGGTCAAATTTGTTGACTGCTATCGACACCTGTTTCAAGATGTTTTATATTATGGATATCGAATACCCCTGGCAATGTGGCATCACATGGGAATTTTTCCAAAAAGTAATTTTTGGTTTGGAGGACAGGTGCAAACATAAAAAAACTGCTCCGTCTGTTATCTCCATACGGGCTGCATTAAAGGCTTGATTGTTTATTGTGTCTTTCATACTTGTCATTGCTTCTATCTGTTATTGCTTCTATATATATTTATATATACTGTACCATTGTTAATAAAATGCTTTTGTGATTTTGCAATACATTTGTACACTTGATTTTTATATTCACTATTTTATATGCGATGTTCAAAAAAATCAAACAGATATATTGTAAATAACAACACATTCCTGGTTAATGTTAACCAGGAACTGTAGTTAATATTCATCTACCAGGCTTTCCTGGTAGATTTTGTTGAGTTGTATATTGACACTTTACCTGGTTAATACTTAACCACATTTTAGGTTGAATTTAACCAGGAACTGTTGTTAATATTCTTTAACCAGGACTTCCTGGTTGATTTAACCAGACTTGGTTAGGTGGTATACTGACACTTTACCTGGTTAATATTTAACCCCATTTTGGTAAAATTTAACCAGGATGTTTTTAGAGTGTGTTAATCAAAATCTAATGTAGAACTTTTATTGTAACTTTTTACGCTCTATCCGAATCACCAAAAACCCATTTTGGGTTTATAGGCACTTTAAGAGACGTCAATTCGCCCTAACTCATGTCTTCATACTAACTCTCCTGACGAAAGCCCTCAGGTCGAAACGTCGAGAAGTGTTTTGTCTATTTTAGGCAGTTGTTATACCACATTTGATGCTTAGCTCTATGTAACACTTTATCACAATACGCCACGATGCTCCCTTTATGCATATGGGTAGACGTGCGCGCCGTTGCATGTTCATGCCGAAGTGCAAAAAGTTTCTCTCTATTTAGGTTATCGTTGTCTAACCGACTTGGTATGCGGAAACGTAATGATATCAATCCATGAACCAGTCTGCATATGTCGGTATTCCGTTTGATTTTTTGCGAAATATTCCCAGAAGCATGCCTCGGCCTATTCAGCTAAACAAACGTGCAATGCAAACACGTTTCTGATGCATACTGTAAAGCAGTCCTTATTTAACCCTGCCACTTGATAAACGTAAATATGAAAGGCATCAATGACTTGCAAAACATTGGAAATAACAGGAAGTTTAAATATGAAAAAGCTAACTAAAACATTCAGGGTATTTACACCAATAGCAAGTTTGATTATATAATATTTGTCTTGTCGCGATCGCATTTCGTGAAAACATTAGTTGATGCAGAGAAAAAGGAACAAAGACAATTAATGTGCATAAGCAAATTGCTGATTTCGTCTGTTTACTATACATATCGATCAATGCGAAAAGCCACGCGCGGTATAAACCTGCATGAATAAGACGATTTGCTGGGAAATTAAAGGCCCATTGACACTATGCGATATGTCGTACACGACTCGATCTTAACCTGGCGTATGTGAACGTGTAAACACATATACAAACCTGGCATTCAATTTCTCCCTGAAATTAACGAAAGGGGGAAATTGTAACATCTTTTGGCCCTCTTTTAGATTCGCCAGAATGATAATTGCATACAAGTGATACAACTCATCGTATATAGTCTAAATAGGCCTTACGAATACTAAATAACACAGGTTCTATATTTTCACTCAATTTAGATATGTTTAACAGTAAAAATCGAAAGCCATTATGCATGGATAAATGAAAATTAGAACACCACCAGAAATTTGGGACATTTTGCGCCGTCGTTCAAAATTTTCCCAATCAGCGGTAATTCGTCATAAATGATCTCAAAATATGGCGGACTATGAAATATGTCATAGAAGAAAGACAAAAAGGCATCATTGAAAGGCAAACTTTAAAGGATTTTGGACTGACCGGTTTGCTGTGGAATAACAAGCAATTTTCTTGGCTATATTAACTATTTGAACATTGACAAATACATCGCGACGTCCACAGCATGCATCGGCCTTATAAAGGATACTGCCTTATTTGACGGGTTTATATCTTGTTTTTAGTCGATATACTATATATTACACTATAAAATGGATTATATTGCCAGTGAAAATTCTTGTATCTCGGGAACCACTTAGACGGAAAGAAATCCTTGTGAAATTGATCTACAAATATTGCTTGGTCGGGTCGTACTTATTATCGAAGTCCACAACCATGGAATGTTGAAACAAAGTAGATTAAAATTTGATATTTTTATCAACTCCTGTATAATTTATAGTAATTTTTGGTCGCCATATTGAATGAATGTGCGGCATGTGCGTCGCCATTCAGCTAAACAAACGTGCCACTGCACGTACAAACACGTAAGCTTTTAACTTCTGATGCGTGCTGTAAAGCAGTCCCCCTTCCATTTCATGAAGGTATATGAATGGTAGGTACAGTATATGAATGGTACGTACAGGAATTTTAAATACCAAAAAGCGAACTAAGGGATACAGGGTGTTGACATAAATTAATACCAGGTTTGACGTAATCATCAAATATTAATGGACTGTATACATACGTATTGGATTATATCTTGTTCTTTGCTCAGTCCTCGCCCAAACACTTTTGATCACCAATCTGAAATCATGTGCATTAAAGTGACAAGAGTTTCTAATTGGTGACGTAGAGGATTAACCAAGTTAAGGTCAGGCGGACGAAGCTTTAATAACGGGAAAAGTTAACGTCCTATACTAGTAAACAAAAGGTATGGTCATACTTTTGTGAATTAAACTCGGTTTGACATCGCTAATTTTGCAGTAACCACTGTCAGTAACAAGCATGGCACATTTAAAATTCAAAATGGCGTCTTGTAATTTAAAAAGTAGCATCTCAATTTTCAATAACTTACAATTAGTAAATCTAAAAATTCGACAATTTCTGCAAATCCTCATATATTTCGATAGGTTATGTTGTTAATACCCGAGCAATCTATGTCGTCGCAATTGTATAAAAACTATGTGAGACACATCAGGTCTCTTGTATATCCAATTTTAACTTCCTCGTAAATATCGGCAGATTTGGACATCTAAATTGCTTGGCACCGTATTTCTTTTTGCATTATCACTTATTACGTATAATAGCTTCCATAGATTTGCTCATGATTTGCTCTACAAGGCAATGTATTGCACGTAATTGTTAAAGACACGTCGAACCAGAATTTTGTATTGGCGAACATATTCAACATAACCACTGATCTCTTTATAGCATACTGAAATGCTGTTTAATTAAAGGTAAGTGGTTGAGCTCCAAAGATGACTACATTGCTTGCAACCCTCTATAGTCTATTCACACCATTTCAAGGAAAACAGGTCCCGCTAAAGGTGCTGTTACATTATTGAACCTCCGTTGCAACCTACAAAGCAATTCTACTGCTGAGGCATCTCTAGTTGACATATACAAACATTTCTTACGATCGATAGCGTTTTTTGAGCGTTTTGAACACCCTCTACCAATCAACATCCATCAAATTGGGTTATGCCAAGCATGTCTTTTAGAAACTAATTTGTTATAAATTGTGAGGGCTTTGTTTCTTTTTGCGACAACTCGTTATTCTATCAGTTTGTCCGAAACTGTTTTGTCTGAATACCTGGCTACGCTGCTCAGCAGAATTAATGTAATCATGAAATGAAAAAATGAAACAAAACGATTATTTACCATTTCTTGTGCCATATTCAGTATCGATAACTCGCCCAAATTCCATTTCGCAATGAAATCAAATAAACTCCTGCGTCGTTTTTTGAACAAATACGATTTCATTTCAAAAACATCACCCGAGGTCAGACAAAGATAATCCAAATCACATGATACATACATCAACGACGGCTAGGCGAGCAATTGAGGTCACTTTGTAAATCGCTGGCAGCTTTTCTTTTGATCCAGGTTAATATCAACTTTACGAGCAGTATATCTAACTGAAGGTATTATCAGCGAATAAATTATTCCAAATTCAACAAAGGTAAGTCTATAGGCCATTTCATACCGTCACGGTCAATTCACAAATGTCAAGGTTGCATTATTTTTAGGCGTGCATAAATTTTTGGAATTTTAGATTAACAGGGTTATTTTCTTTTTTATTATCATCGGTAAAAGCATTAAAATTAATGCTAAAATTTATACCCACGAAATTTGACCTCTCAACTTCAGGTTTTTTGCGGCTTTGGTCGAATTTTTCGCTGTCCACTGGCTGCGGTGCGCATATTTCAGTTCGATGAAAAATTTTACCTTGATCAAAGAAAAGAAAATTCGAACATTTTACGTCCTTCTTGACAAGAGTTGCATCATGTAAATATTTCGTGCACCAGATCAATGGTAAATAAACTCGATGTGTTTGATCGGTCAGATCCCACTCAATGAAATGAATGTAAATATTCAGGAATATATCCGCTTTGTTTGCTTACAATCGTAAGCGTGCTTGCTCATAAGCGGTATAATTGTCCAAGCAAAATTGGGTGCGCGAAAAAGGCGATTTTACCAGAGATCTAATATCCATAATACTATAATTGCTTCTATAAAGGAACAATATGAATTTTTGAGTATTATGTTTCGCCTTTTCTATACACCCTGTATACTTCAACAGGTTCTCTTTCATGCATGAAAAGTTGATTTCATACAAGTGAATATGAATGTCGAGCAATTAAAATCGCAAATTGCTTAGTCATGTTCAGATCGAGGTAATTTAACACCCAATGGAATAATTTTAGGCTAAATATAATTTAACACCAAATCGGAGATGAGTAATAATAACACAGACGGGCGTAATTTAGCTGCTTGAAAAAAAAACCAGTGAATTCCCTCGGGGGACTGAGACACGGGCTGTTAGAACTTAGAAGTATACTATTGGGCCGTATACTATATGTGAGGGTGTATTCGCATATTCGTCTCATGCCTAACTTCTTTCGTTATCGTTTGCTTTTAATTATTTGAACATGAATATGTGAATATATACACACCTTTCAGGTTTATTGTTTTTCGCTTGATGCAGCTTATTTTTATTGATCTGAAATATTGATCTATAGATGTTTTGATATTTCAGTATCTTTATCGCTTTGGATTACAACTCGTTTGTCGTATTATGTATGGCCCATAAGGGGCTTGTCAAAATACGAAACGGCAGATAAAAACACTGAAGAACAGACAGGGCGCGATTTCGTAAAGACACGAATTTTCAGTTTTCAGAAGCATGTAAATTCTGGAACCAAAATTTGGAATGGACTCCAGAGCGGCAAAAATGTATCATCGTTATGCAATCTACAAAAATATTATAATAATTATGTTAAAATATATTTGCTTTTGAAAAGTGAATGTGTGGTCTTAAAGCCAAGGTTAAACGTCGCATTTTTGTTGCGTCAAAAGCAACTCACACAATAGATAACGAAACGATGAACCACAATAACATCTCATTATTTATTGTTTGAATTGCATTCCACGCGACAAAAATACAACACAAATTATATATTTTTTTAAGGAAATTAAGATGTGGTTCTCGTTTATTTTGCTCGCGACAACCGGCAATTTTCAGCTCATGTCAGGTATTTGTCGTATTCACTTATACGTTCATTTCATTTTCATTCCACCTTTAAGAGTAAACTCTACGTCAATGTATTTCCGTATGTGAAGCAAGATTTAAATTTTGTTACAGCTGCAATAGTGGAACAAAAATTTGGCAAAGTAAACATCACTGAGTCTGAGAGTACATCGGACGGTTTCTATTGCGAAACTGTTCGTTTTCCAACTCCGTTTCAAAGTGGAGGAACGATCAGAGTTTTACCTTCATTAAGTTATGAAGATCACCCAGAAAATGAAAATGAGGCATCGGTCGCGATTTTAGACTCAGTTGATAAAAATTCCTTTTCAATCTGTCTTATGGAACCAGCTCAACCAACAGGAAGAATGACCCTCAATTGGTTTGCGTTGAGCGACGGTTTCTTACCACCGGGGGTCGCGACCGGAACTGTTTCTTACAACGCTTTCACGAGTGGAAGTGTTTGTACTGACATCAGTTTTGCAAAGGTAAATATTTTACTAAACAACAGTGTTATAGGTACTATATTTGTTGACTCTGTATGTTTTGTGAAAAACGTAAATGTATATAATAAAAGCTGAAGGTAAGAACAAATTAACCCTTTCCTCTTCCAGACTTTCAAGGACACACCTAAGATTTTTCTTAGCGTCCGACACGTTGGAAATATCGAACGAAAAGACGTGATGACCTTTTGGGCAGAAGATGTAGCAGAAAAGCAATTTCGAGTTTGCTTGAGGGAAATGGTTTCCTTCTCTGGAACTCACGAGAATGTGCATATTGTAAGTATGCTGTTGATATAAACAACATTTTCTTTTTTTTTGAGAATACTACCGCATAAGCAACAAAAGTTCTTCAAAGGCTTCGAGGACCGGTTATGCCAATAAAGAAAACCAAACAATTCAAATGCAAATGACAGAACGTGCAACAATTAGACAAAAGCCCCGTTTACACTACACTCGATTTATCGCACGGCACGGCTAAAATGAGTACCCGTGCCCACTTCATTCGTGCCCGGCCTTTGTTTTAGTAGCCTGAACACTATTAAAATTGGGCACAGGTACCTATTTTAGCCGTGCCGTGCCGATAAATTGAGTGTAGTGTAAACGGGGTTAGAGTTCGACCATGCTAGCATAAGGGCCTGTTCATATTACACGTTAGCTTGGCAGTGCGGGATCTCGCTTCACATATTATTTCACTATAATTGCATTCATACGGAACCGGGCCAGCTTGGGTTTGGCGAGATCTCGACTGAAGGAAGCGAGATCTTGCGTTCAACGGGTTCATGATGTAAAAATATCAAGCGGGCCTGCAAAAGCGAGCCAGCCCGGCTATGCCAGGTTGGGCTTTCATATGAACAGGCCCTAAGGCCTGAAACAAATAACTCACATTATAAGATTCCTATGCGTTTTCTACGTATACATTTTCTATATTAAACACAAGTAATTAATCCAAATTATTAAGTACTTTAATTAGGCCAGATGCTTTAAAAACAAGCAAATAAAACATAAATTTTGTTACGGAATCATGATTTACATATTACATTTGTACCTGTTTTCAGGATTGGGTTGCGATGGAAAATACATTCAGCGGGAACATGACGGACCTTAATTCAATAATGTTCCCTAACACTGATCAACCCTCTTCTGATGATAATTATGCATATTGTAAGGTAAATACTATTTTCTAATTCAATGTTTCAAATCAAGTTGTGTTTATTCACGGCGAGTATTTTAGTATTAGTTTTCACCATTGATATCAACATTACAGGTCCGAAATTTCTCACGCCGCTTCTATGAGCCGCCCGTAGTTCTTGTCAGCGCCCGCCGTAAACAAAACTTATCGGACACGGACGAAAATATTGTAGCGTGGGTTAAGGTAACTATATTAAAGTGAATTACATAGAATACAAATCAGTCTTTTTCAATGGAAGTTGGCAAGTTCGATCAAAAAACTTTTTATAAGTTTGCTTGGGTTACATCGACTATACATCTGTCAAACGAAAAAAGCCATGCATGTTTTCGCATGTTTTTGCATCCTTTAAAATTTAACTAACAAAAATGTTCAGTCGTACGTGGGTACAATTTTTAATTTTTTTTTCAAAGATTCAACTGTTTTAGATTTGTCGAGCATTAAGAAACCATGCTATCTTCTAATGCCATGCTATTAAAAATATGTTTGACCGTTATTTAGAATGAGAAACCTCTTTGCAAATGTACAAAATTAATGTATATATACAAGTATTTTTAACAACTTTCAGTGTTCAGAAAATACCCAGATTAACACTTGTTTAAAACATGCACCCATATAAAAACTTCACGGGCTGGCAAAGATTACTCTGGAAATGTTCACAATTTTCTTGATGAACAATGCAAATTTAAAAAAATTCTATTTACATGCAGCGTTCATGCTTTAGGACAGAAACAAAATTAATTTAAAACCGCGTTTCATTTCGAATTTAAATAATAGAGTGGAAAGAGTGCCCTCCGCACTATAGACCCTGTTGTTTGAGAATCGCTTTAATTAGTTAATGTTATTACCGCAGGATGTTAGCGTCACAGCATTTGAGGTGTGCATAAAAGACCTCCCTGGATTAATCGGGAATCACGAACCAATAACAGTTGACTATTCTGCTGTAGGAGGTATATATATTGTACAAATATTATAACTAATACGGCCATGACGAATAGTAGGAGTATTCCTACATTCTGCATATCCCAATAAAAGCGAGGCCACGAAAAGGCTTAGTGTTAGAAAGCCCAGCCTTTTTATTTATTTTATGGCCTTTTTATGTTTAGTTTATTTTCATTGCAATGGCCCGCATGATTTTGCTATGAGAAAATCAACCAATTCTAGCAAATTACAATCAACGCAATTCATTATTCCCGTAGATCTTGATCCCTGTCTTGACGTTACATGTGAAAAGTTCGCAGTTTGTCGTGCGTTTGGTCCCTACGATGCACGATGTGTCTGTGTAACAGATTGTCCTTCAGTCGAACAAAAACTCTGCGCTTCAAACGGACAAACTTTCAACAATGTTTGTTTATTCCAACTAAAAGTTTGTCAAACCAAAGCAAACTATACAATTTATCATCGCAGGAATTGCAGAGGTAAACGCTGTTATGAAATATACATCATTCTATAGCTATAGTGCACGTATAAAGGCCCTGTTACACGGTGCAATTTTTCTTGCAACTTGCAATGCTATTTTACTTTTGAGAGATGTAAATTTTGGCAACTACGAAATGTTATGTGTATTACTACAAGGCGAGGAAGTTAATTTTGAAGTTGCATTTCAAAGTGAAACCTGCATTTCTTAAAAGAAGAATTGCATTCCAAATTGCACGAAAAATTGCATCGTGTAACAACAGAGCCTTAAGTCAAGTAATATAAAAACTCCGTTAAGAGTAAACATTTTAAATAGTGTATTTTCCCAAATATTTACTCTTTACGGAGTTTCTATTAATGCGGTAATATTGCTGTATGTTTTCATGGTGACATCAAATAAGTAAATTAGCTTGTAGGTACACCACGTAAGTATTTTATCACTGCAAAGCTTTCCGTCCGTTAACCTGGGCCATCAAAATTACCCTGATGAAGGCCCGGGTAAACGCACGGAAAGCTATAATTATGCGGTATGAAATAATTACGTTGAGTTTCTATTGTTTTATATTTTATTAAAATACTCATGCAGTGGCTCCCGTAACCAAGTAACATATTTATATGCAACTATTAAAATATCATAACAATAAAATATTTTTCTATTTTTTTAAAACCAATGCATAGTGAAATTAAAAAAAGAAAAAACGAGCAGCAGAAGAGAATTATCAGAGAATTAGTCTCTCTGATAATCATCTAAACAATTACAAAAGAGTTCGGGAAAAAGAGGACACAAATAGAAGAGCTATATAAAAATAAGTGGATGCGTGAGAACTCGAATATTGTGACGTATAGTTTTAACTCTAAACGGTTGTCTTTGTGAAGTATACTATATTTATTCCTATTCCTAATGCATTTTTAGGTTTTCCTATGAGGAGAGGCAGAAGATACGTCGCTGATGTTCCTAATTGGTCTCGTTCACATTGCCAAACTGTTAAATTCGATCCTTTATCTTTCTATCCGGACAAACCTGTTCACGTGCAGATCAGCGTGAGCCACGTGAATGACTCGGGCCAAGTTCATGAAGCCGCAGTATCGTGGGTAGAAGATGTGAGCGACACTCATTTCAAATTTTGTGTGATGGAGTCAGGAAGAAATGAAGGGCCACCTCATGGATTTGCTACTGTTGAATATATGGCTTATCAAGGCGCTCCCAGCGGAGGGTTGGCGGGATCGGTGCTGATTCCAGAGTGGTGGACTGGATCCAAGTGCCAATATGTGAAAATGTCATCGGTAAGCCCAGGCCGATGAAATATATTTCAAAATGAATTCATAGAGAAGGCTATACATATGCAAATTACTTCCCAATAGAATACGTCGAACCTCTAAATAATTCATTATTAGTGAGAAATAATCTTTAGACTCAGAGATATATTTTTCTTGTCATCTCAAATGAGAATTTGAAACGGAAAAATGCTATCCGAAATGTTTAGACGATCAGTTTTAATCAGTTCACTTTGCCAAAGGGATCTTTTTACTCAACACCAACGGTCTTGGTGACAGCAGAACATCATCGACTTAGTCTTAAACACGACGCTGCATCATTGTGGTTGGAAAACGTCAATAGATACTCATTTAAAGTGTGTATGCGTGAATTACAAAACTTTGATGGACCTCACCAAGATATTTACGTGGTGAGTCAACTAAATACGCATCAAAATATATTATGCCATAATTCAAACCCTGTTAATCAATCACTGTTATAAACCTTGTGCAATCAAGTAAATTAAATTATGTGCGAAGGCATCGCAGCATCAGCTCAGTATATATTCAACGTCTTGTTGATAATTGGAGGGAGAAAGCGCATACATACATATGCACACTGCACATTTTAGACGTCTGCTTGAGGTATTAGCGCTGTATGAATGTGTGTAATAGCGAGTTATGCATCGAACAGTGCGTACATTACGTAAAGTTCCTAAATTTTTGGATACATAAAAGTTTGGGCTTTACTCCTTGTTCCACTGAGAAATTTATGTTTTTGAAAGCTCCAGCTTGCGCGTCATTTAGAAATTAGGCTTTAGAAATTTGAAAAATGCGCCTAATCGGTCTACGACAATCTTTTTCTTATTCAAAATATACAAAAAATATACGGCAGAGCATTCTATGTAGATACCTATATTTTTAAGTGAATGCATGATTTTGTTTTTTTTTAGAATTGGATTGCATTTGAAACTCTCGAACGGCCTATTTTCACAGAACAAGGCTCCAATCATTTCGTCCGCACTTCGAAGAATCCTCCGCCCAGCACCAATTACGCACAATGCAAGGTAAAATTTGTAATTATTTTTCATTGCATAAAATGACAACGAAAATTAACTTACGAACTATTAAGTTATCAATCATCATAAATATATTCGCGGGTCATAAATCAAAAGTTTTGAGCGATGATTTTTCAGGATGTCACTTTTGCAGCCAACTATACCAAACCACCAACGGTGTTAGTTTCTCCGAAGCACAGTACATCAGGAAATAATGTTGATCCAAAAAACAATGGAATCTCCACATGGATTGAGGTATCTATCCAAATTTTGGTTATACATAGGAGCTATTCTAGACAGCTATTATATTTGTTACACTAATTCTTAGTGCAGTTGCAATATGTCTATATTGCGACTACACTGCGACTTCAATGTATCAACTAATATATGACGAGTTAATTATTTCACTCTTCAAAACAGCTAAAAACGTCGTTTTAGAAAATACAGGAAGTCTTAGTATGTTAACTGAAGATCTAGCTAGTACAAGTTAACTATAATGCGCTGGGAATACATCGGGGACGATCATTAGGTGGCTGTTTATACTGAATTCCACCAGTAAAATGCTTGCTTAACATAATGTGCCAGTAAATTACCTCAATACTCCAAAAAATTGGTAACTTTGCCAAAAAATGATTGTGTGGCAAGTACTGCAGGCCATTGTCAACCAGATGTGAATGTGCCTTAACCCAAGACTCACCTCAATCGATCTGAAATAGAATTAGTTAAGTTTAGATAGAGAGACCGATTTGCAGGATAGTATGATCTAGTCGGCATTATTTTTTTTTACTCTAGTCGGCATTATTTTTTTTTAATTACGAACAAAAAACGAGTCTTGTCTAAGGGCGGTTTTCCACTAGACGGAATTTTTTGACTGAACGAAATTTTTCGTCTGACTATCTTTTTCATTGTGACCGAGGTTAAGGGAATTCGCTGCGGTCGAATCCTCTGAATTGAAATGAAAACTAGGCAAAAGACTTCAGAATAAAAAAATAGAGCCCAGTGGAAAACCTATATAATATCGACTGTATGCCGCAACGGATGATGTTGGGAAAATACAACAAAAGCAGTTTTACCTGAAGTAGTGTTCTTACCCCTCTGAGTGCACAGCAAAAGTTAATTGAATGTTTCTCTAACTCTCAAAAAACCAATGTTAGGTAGTCCTGTTGTAAGCAACACTCGGGTAATGTAACAAATAAAAATTTTCACGCACAGTTGTATAGAACTTTTTGATCATTTTAATACATTATCCTTTCATTGTACATTAATCAACGTAATCTACCGTATAAAATCATGTTTTGAAAAGGAAGATTGTAACTTAATTTTTCTTGTTACATCTTTGTAGACTATTACAGATGCGTCTTTTAGAATATGTTTTAAAGAGTTACACAGCACCAATGGTTATGATCCTGTTACAATATCCCATGTTGTCTTAGGAGGTGAGATTGACTTGAAATTAGGCGTTCGCGGTTTTTCGTACTGGTTCACCTAAAGTCTCTACTATCTAAGTAACTTTAATCTTCTTGCAAAACATTTAGACGCTTAATATTATACCAGTGTTTGAAATGTGCATTTATCAATTTTGCAAGACTGTAGGGAACCACTCTCCCAAAACTTTTAACGTTCCAGAATTTTTCGCAACTTTCCCCCCCCCCCCACAATTCATGTCTTTTTACCAGAAATCTGTGATTCGGGGTGGATATACTTCGGAGGATATTGTCATAAAATAAAAACTTCGTGTGAGACGTGGAAAAAAGCTTCAACAACGTGCATGGGTTACGGTTCAACTCTGGCTAGAATTGAAAGTTCTGAACAAGACGTCTTCGTTCAAAATCTTCATTATGGAAAGCAGCCATCTTGGATCGGATTGAATGATCAAGCAAATGAGGGGTTATATTTGTGGAGCGATGGCGGACCTGCCTCCTACACATACTGGGATCCACAAGTATCCACACCTCACAGCGAGACTGAGGACTGTGTTGAGATTTCAGAAAAAGATACGAAATACCATTGGCAATCGTCATCATGTGACAATTGTCGAGGTTATACGTGTATGAAAGGTATAATCTGAAATTACGGACATAGTAGCTATTTGAAATGCTCTCAATTAGGAGAAGCGTTCTATCTATCATTTTGAGTTAGCAGTACAAGCTTAAATTCTTCCACTGAAACGGTACAGTTTCTTTTGACATTAGATTATGATGAGTGCACCCAAAATACCCACGCTTGTGACCCAAATGCTGATTGCAAAAACACCGACGGTTCATATAAATGTCAATGCCGAAGTGGTTTTACTGGCAATGGAAAAGAGTGCAGAGGTATTTTTTACAGTTCATAATCAGTTTGCAAATCCTATAATGGACTTTTTATTGACTACAATTTTTGCTTTTCATCTCATTAACCAATGTATGGAGCGAGATTTTTCAAGATATTACTAAAAACTAGAATAAATTCATCACGATTTCACTAGCAACAACAAACCTATTTATCAGTATTTATAAGGGTTAAAATACAGCCTATTATTTTTTTTTAAAATGATTGACAGCCTGTGAATGTCTAAAAGTGATATGTGAAATTATCATGTCAAATGAGTGACGCCTTACTGGGTGATACAATTTTTAACCCACGTGTCATATCTAACATTATGACGTCATACCAATGGCGAGGACACCAACGTCCCAAGGAGGGGAAATGTGAAACAGCAAAATGCGAGCAAACAAAGCAATAATGTCCATTATTAAAACAAATATTAAAATTGAATTCGGTAAATTTGAATTGTAGCAACACAGTGGGCTCCTACACGTGTTATTGTAGGAAAGGGTATACCGGTAACGGTCTTTCATGTACAGGTAAAGTCAGCAGATTACATGCCTTGCGCTCTGCACATTGAAAAATACTAATTAACGTCCATAAGTGATACAAACATATAGTTATCGTTATATTGCTTCGTGGATTTAGTGTGCTGTGTGTGACATGTTTCCTCCATTTTGTTGTGTGTTCAAAGACGGGTAGGAAAGCAACAATTAAGATTAGACGCCAAAACCAAAAAATTCACCAGGCCCAACTCTATATTGATACCGTACAAAGCGATGGTGCACATATTGATCTTCCTTAGATTACACATTTAAACTGTTCTAAGAAATACCGTGTAAGGTAGAATTTCTAAAAACGTATTCCCATCACACCTATCGCGGTATTCTAACCAGTCATAATTATAACCATACGTGCACCATATAACAAGACATTTACGTTAATAGATGTGGACGAGTGCTCCATTGGCGGTATGCATTCTTGTGACTCAAACGCACATTGTAGCAACACTGCTGGTTCCTATATTTGTCGATGTCGAAGTGGTTATGAAGGTGACGGGTTTTCTTCTCTGGGTACGTCAGTATTGATAAACTCAATTACTATAAGGTGAACTAGAGGTGACACTAAGGCATTTACTATCACCGATGCTGTCAGCTCAATGTCGCTAGCTATATATTTAGCATAAGTACGTTTCACTTTCGCTAAAAGCCTTCGATATATCTGATATTGGCATTCTGTTTACATTATTAAACAACTTGCTGCATATTCTTTCATTTCATTATTTGCTGCGCGAAACCGTCAAAAATCGTCCAAATGAAGTGACGTGAGGTTATTCGTATATTTTGTGTCGTGTAAGGTGTTTCTTTGCTCTAAAAGCCCGTCGTATGTCGTACCTGCCACGTCGTCAAACGTAAATTTTCTTCTAACAAAACGACGCGCCATAGTTCTGTTAGGCAAAAATACGCAATGTGCTGATCAGAAGCAGAGAAAGCAACCAGAACAGTTATTCGCTAGAATATGTAATTTTTGGCTGGGAAAAGGGTGGAGAATATGTGACACGCCCAACGCCTGAATGCATTTGTTCACCCGCTCTTTTATATACTCATGTTACCTAGTTGACCCAACTAGTTGACCGTGAGTTAGTCAGAGTTATTAATTCGACCGTGAGTTATTAAACTCGAAATGAGAAGTGTGCCAAAAGTGACACGCCACTTTTGCAGTACTCATCCTCTGAAACTGATTGAGTTGCGGGCCAATTTTAGTGTCGTGCGGGAATCCTGGTCGCCTACGTAATGGGTACGCAAGAGGAAACAGGTATACTGAAGGATCGACGGTGACTTTCCGTTGATATAGCGAGAGTGACCGTCTGTATGGGGCATCTTCTACTACATGTCAGTCAAACGGGTTATGGAGCAATCCAATTCCTACTTGTAAGTAACAAGACTTAAATGCTTTCTTATTTAAATGTAGCCTCAGTTTTTTTGTATGCATGTATTAGCATAGTTTTGGCCCATTTTCCATTTCAGCCGTAACGTAAAAAAACGTGGTATACCCTGTATTTCGATTGAAGTGCGGGAAACGACCGCGTGAAATACGTCTGAACATGACCAAAAATTAGATTCAACATGATAATAGAGCCATAAAAACCGCATATTTAATTAGCCTTGTTCACACAATCAAAAGCGAAATACATATGAGAAAATCGCGACTTACCTGTCCATCCGTCTTTGATTTTCCTTTACAAAGTTTGTATAATCATTTCCGCAAGTCTTTGATTATAGAACAGTGTTCAAACAATCACAATGAAGCAAAATAGGACGTATTGTGAATGAGCAAACCGCTTCCAAATGTTATTTAAATTGTATGTCAACAAACAGCCATATTTAGTGACATCTTGCGAGCTGCATGACAAGTTTAGGTCTTTATAATACCGTCTTGATTACAACCTTTTTCTTGTCCACAAGTCTTGTTCGTCAGAACACATGATCGACTCGATTTGCATCCAAAATACTCGACTGGTCTGTAATTTAAAATGGTCCAGCCAGAAAATCTATCCCTGGTAATGCTAATATTTTGATGCGAAAACAATCATTGAATTTCTATAGAAATGAATAATTAGGATAACTGTGGTTAAGGACAGAATTGGCCAATCAGAGCCGTGTATTTCAGAGTTAACTAAGATTTAACTATGCAAAATTTAGTTAAGGAGTTTTATACAACCGGCCCAAGGTAAATTACTTTACTCTATTCTTAACCCAAATTTGGCAGCCATCTTGAATTCGCAATGTTATGTTTTCCCACTTGCGCCCGCGTACTAATTTATCAACCGCTGACTGTATCAAATTTCTGGGAAAAGTGGCATTGTGAAATGATACCGTAAATTTTTACAAATGAATAATTATTTAACTTTTCTGCCTTTTAGGTAGCTATAGGTATGGAAGATAGGACTGTGGATTGCTATTGATGTTTGGATTTTAAAACCGCTGTTTTAAGAATGAACTAAAATGCACGTAGACTAGCAAACAGACTAAGATAAAATTTTGACAAAAACAATTATAAATGTGTAGTATCAACTTAATGAAAGGCCTATTACATTGTGATTTAATTTGATGTTACTCACTTCGCACCAATTGATTTGGACTTCTCCCGAGTTAGACCACATACTCAATCCGTGATCACGAAAAAAATAGCAAAAATATCAACATTTATAGAAGCTAGGCAAAGGAACATGATTTGGCAATAAATACAAAATAAAAACAAATAAGAAATGACAATAAATACGCCAAATTCATGTTTATCCTTTAAGAGACGTCAATTCGCCCACATAATTATACAGACCTGTAGATGTGTATTCAGTTAATAATTGCACTGATGAAGGCCCGGGTTAACGAACCGAAAGTTTTGCAGTATTAAATACCTACGTGGTGTTCCTACAAGCTGATTTACTTAATAAACGAAGACATTGTAGAACTATATGAGCTATTGGATGCAATGACTTTGCGGTTGTTAATAATGAGAGAGTGTACATGTTGTGTGATTCGGCAGTCTGGTATAATAAACGAAATATATTATGTAAGAACGATGCTCTGTCACTATTAGTTCAACCTCCCTTGAAAAAAAATACGTGCATGCAGAACTGAATATATGAATAAACAAACCCTCCCCCCCCCCATATCCTCCCAGTTTCGGCCCTGGAGGTTTCCGGGGCTTAAAAATAATGTTTAAGTAAGTATAGGCAAGGACACATACCCATAACCCATATTTCGTGAGTAAATATTATCGGGAGGCTTTATCGCCAGCTCAGTGTTATGTTGACAGATCGAGTCCAACTGAGTGAACTGATTAATTTACAGACAAAAAAGGCGTCTGACAACTTGTTTAAATATTGACTTGCACAAGCTTTGACGTGCTTTATATTTTGTAATAAGTTAACACGATTGAGATAAATCTATACACCAGGTATGGGCGGGTTGTATGAAAGCCGGATAGCGCTATCCACCGCATAGTGTTTTTTTTCAATCGCTTTAAAATCGCCTGTTGTTTGTCATAATTTTGATTAAATCTTAGTATTTCTAAATCGAGGATCCCCTTCAATAATTGTCTGTTCCAAAGATGAAATTTTATCGCTTTTCGAGCATTTTTGAAACGGTTGAAAAAATCACTATCCGGTGGATAGCGCTATTCGACTTTCGTACAACCCGCCCCAGCTTATATGCTGGCTGATATACAGATTATTTGAAGTCATTTTTAAACTAGAGTAATGTCTAAAAGTAAACAGAAAATGTTTGCTGACCCTTATTAATTGTTAGTAACTTAAGCCACTGTTTTTATCTTTGTATCTCTGGATTAATTTAAAAACATGCTCTTGCTATCTTTCTTCAGCAAATCATATTTCTATTAGCTACATGCATGTAAACAAATAAAATGACGAATGTTCGTTTACGCTCCAATGCTATAATCTTTTGCTGGCAAAAACTGCTTTTGAATTCCGCAAATTGCAAATTCGTCAGGCTCAAGAGTACTCCGCATGTACTCAGATTCAATTCCTGTTTTCGTTCCAACACTGACATTATTCCGAGGCAAACTACATTTATGAAGTGTTTGTTGTTTTGTGTTTTATAAAAATATTTTGAGTCTGCTTTAGCTTGTTAACTTCAAAGTCTCAGACATCCTGTTATTTCGATAATTGTGTTTCATCCAAGTAGACTCGATGTTGACACGCAAGAGCATTATATTGTTTTGCTTTCACTCTCTTACTTAAACATTGCTTAGCACTTATCAAACTTATTGTTCACGCGGTGAACAGAAAATCAACCACAGTCACTATTCAGTATTCGCATTATACACACAGCTTTATTATAACTAATGTTAGCCAATAAAAATTTCGAATTCTAAGCGATAGGTCAAAGTTTTTTGATAGATAATTTTTTATCCATATTATGACGTTCTATAACACGTGCAAGTGCAATTAAAGAAGCAAACAAAGTTAAGAGATATTTGAGCTTAAGTGGTGGAGTTGAGTTATTTCGACTTACGAAATAGTACATAATTATGTACAGCACGAAAATTTCTCAATGCTCTGTCGTTTTTCTACATGTCTGCATGTTCTACGACCGTGAAAAAAATAGTCGCTTTGACACAGGAGTAAAAATCACATACAAACTATATAATTATGGGATGTGCAAGGCAGATACAAATCTTCGCATTTTGCTGATATACAGTACATATTCTATTTACATTGTGAAAGCAAATTCCAATGACGATGCTGTTTGTACACGTCAACATCATGTATTGCCCTGTAGCTTAATAGTTTGCGTGAGAAAAACACATCCACACAAAACCAGTAGCTACTATCTGAGATAATGATCTATTCAGATAGTTTCGGATAGTATTTACTAATTACAGCCTCTTGAGATCGAGCTCAACAGAGAATACTGGTCCGTCGGTTTTACCAAATCATTATCAGCTATTAATAGTTCGTTACATGTATACGTATGTATTGTCGTCTCTTTTGAAAATATTAAATGATGCAGCTCTGTACACTATATATTTCACTGATTTTTTTAATACACGATTGTTTTTATTGCTTATAGTTAACGGCTTTGTATAACTATATAACAGGTGTATAATGTGACCCTTTATGACTTATATACCGCGTGAAAATGCGAAATAATATATGTACATGCAACATAAGGCCCAGGTTATATGTCGCGTTTACTCCCATCGAATGCTATTTAAACATTAGATGATGAGATGATAATGAAGTTTAATGAGGTTTATCATTTCATTATTTATTTTTTGATTTGCATTCGACGCGACCAAAATGCAACGTATAACCTATAGTCTGGTCTCCGCTTGCATGCACGTACTGTCAGTTCGGCCAATTTGGCGCATGCTAACTGACTCAAAACTGGTGGTTAATGCTGTCCGTCGCGGCTGTCTTTTACTCTTTTTGTACGTATAACAATAGAACTGTAGTCTACTACATGTGATTTCGGCGAGTACATACATGCGGTGGAGGCCTGCAGCCTTAACTCGTGCACTATATCAGCTGTGCGCTTAGCAAGCCATTATGTAACCAATATCCAAGCATCTATAATTAAACGACACAGTCCAGACATGGTCACAATCCATTTTAGATCTCTCCACTACACAATTACTGCACCATTGTTTTTACTTAAAAAAGCACTTCCAAATTCCTGTTAGATGTCAAATGTAACTGCATAATAATTATTAACTCTTCAACTACATGGTCCTCGAAAAATGCGTGCACGTGCGTATAAAAAACGCGCAGTACAAAGTGGAAGCAACCTTTAGGGCAACTTTCCACTGTCACGTTTTTTTACGCGCGGAAAACTTTAAATGCTTCCAAATTGTTATTAATTGTTATCAACAAATGCATATACATACGAATATATGGGAAAATTCACAAAACAATTTTAACTCAAACAATTATGGTAAGTTTGCAATTGGTAATTCAACAGAGGAATGATTAAATGCACTTTCGATTATAAACAGACAAAAATATTGATTCAAATTTTTCCAAAGTCCATAATTGTTTTCCTGTTTTTTCTCCTTTGTTTTCAGACCAGCATTTTACTGATTGAAAGGTGTTTACCCTACACCGCTGACGTTTACAAAGGGTGTGCCCATAATCAATAAAAGAAAGGGCTCTTACATTCTCTTCTCATAGCTTGCATGTGGATCTTAAGGATAACTTAAAACGTCTTTAATACTGCTGAACGATTTAGATAGTGCAGCAAAAGGTATGTTTCCAAGTAAATCTTGTATTGTAATAACCTGGAGTAATTTTGTCTATACAATACTATACACCACTTTGTCAATACAACATTCATAGCGTAATTATATCTCTTCAGTTTATCTCTTTACAGCTAAAAAATGTGGTTTCCACTTGTTTTGCTACTGATTGCTTGCAAATTGTCGATTATGTCAGGTAGGTTTGATCAACGATTATTATTTTCATTTGCACTTTACCCTAAGAGTCGAACAACAACTGCATGATTACATTAGCTCGAGATGTAAAGTTCGTAGGTAATTCAATTTCGCAATGCGATTTTTGTCAGTTGAAATCAGTCGGTTAGCCATTGTTCGTTCTTGTCAATGTTATTGCATGAAATAAAATGTCTCTTTAGACCATGCATCCATTCCTTTCTTTAGATTTAATCCATTGATCATCTGATCATATATGGATAAGATCTTTTTCAATTTGGTTAACCATGTCTGTTTACTTTTTTAGCGGCAATAGTGGAACAAAATTTCGGCAAAGCGAACATCACTGAGAATTCATCCGACGGTTTCTTTTGTGAAACTGTTCGTTTTCCAACTCCATTTCAAAATGGAAGAACGATCAGAGCTTTTTCCTCGTTGAGTCATGAAGATCACCCGGGAAATGAAAACGAGGCTTTGGTTGCTGTAATCAACTCAGTTGATCGAAATTCCTTCTCAGTTTGTCTCATGGAACCAGCTCGACCAACCGGGGAAATGACTCTCAATTGGTTTGCATTCAGTGATGGTTTTCTACCACGGGGAACCCTGACTGGAACTGTTTCCTACGGTGCTTTCACCAGTGGCAGTGTTTGCACCGACGTATTTTTTTCTCGAGTTAGTCTTTTACTAAACAATCCTAATATCAAAACCTGTCTTCAAAATAGATGATACTGTAATTTTATTGTATACTGTTTGTTAGTAAATAAGTGTCTCGATCTATTGTTTTAACTAGACCATCTTCAAAAATTTTTACTTTCATTTGTCTCTAATAACACAATAATTCTTGAATAAATGCAGTATTCGCCCTACATTTAGTACGCTTTTCCCAGATCGACTAGTACTAGCTAGTCAATGTTATTGTCAACTCGATGAAACAATCTGGCGGTGAAAACTTTGATTTGAAACTTGTTAACGCGTATATCATAAATGTTGTAAAATTTTGATAAGCAAACAGACAAATGAAATTGAATGAATCCATGCATGTTCCAGGTTTTCAACGTCCCACCCAAAATTCTTCTGAGTGTACGTCATGTTGGTAATACTGAAAGAAAAGACATGATGACCTCGTGGGCAGAAGACGTCACTGAAACACAGCTTCGGGTTTGCTTGAGAGAAGTGATTTCATTCTCCGGAACCCATGAGAATCTACATATCGTAAGTACAATATTCGTATTTCATCAAAATGCAAATATAATTCTTTATATATATATTGCGAAACAGCTCCTCTCATGTCCCCGCAGGACTCCATCAGGCAAATGGTTAAAATGGAACCGTGTAAATCAAAGTTCAAAACACTGCACGTAATTCTAAAATACTGGATATCGCGTAACAGCTCAAAATTTCCAAACAGTTGTAACAGTTCAAAATAGACATGCAAGATTAAACAATTGTTTAATGGTTTCCGTGTTTGGATGGCCTGAATGTTTGAATTCAAACACAGGGGAATGTGCGAGCGTTAAGGAAAGTACGCGAAACACGAGTCACACGGGAAACCATTAGGTAATTGTTTAATAAAATAACAACAACAAGGCGATGTTCCAAGTTTGATTTCATATCGAATTAAATTTCCGTGTTTGGATGGCCTGATCCAACACGGGTTTCAACCAATCTGAGCACGCCTTATATTACATTGTTATTTTAAACCCGGATTAAATGCATGCAGAGACAGTTGACAAACTACACCGGAAGATTAAATATTTTTATTTGACGTTAGAGCACTTCCAATTTCCGTTTTTAGGATTGGGTAGCAATGGAAAATACATTCAGTCGGAACATGGAAGATCTTGATTCAGTATTGTTCTCTAACATTAACCAACCTTCTTCTCGGAACAATTATGCATATTGCCAGGTAAAAATTTCGAGAACCGCTTAGTACTTCAATTCAATTGTATAGTTCCAAATGTGTATAAGCATTTATCAAAGATTATTGAAAGTTTCGACTTTATTTTGTCATCATGAATGCAAATATTTGTCGGATAAAAACTGATTTATAGCTGACTTGAGATGTGTATCATTTAATATTTTTACTCAGGTTCAAAACTTCTCTCGTCGGTTCCATCAGTTGCCGGCAGTTCTTGTCAGCGCTAACCGTAGACAAGGCTTGCCGTCATCTTTGACAGATCAGAACATTGTATCATGGGTTAAGGTAACTTCTTCAAAAGTCAATATTAAAGCTTGTGAAAAATTGTATAATACAAGGCCACTTAGCTTTTGAATGATTGCCTGGTCTATGGATGTGCCAACAGCCCAGTATTATTCGCTTGAGTTAGACTATTCTCCTATTCGATTTTTTTTTTCATAGGATATAAGCACTACAGAGTTCGAGGTTTGTATAAAAGATCTTCCGGGGAAAAGTGGGCGTCATGAACCAATTAGAGTGGACTATACCGCTGTGGGAGGTAAACAAGAGAATCTTCAAATAAAAAAAGCATGTGTACAGCATGACGACATCTTAACGACATGCATGAAAACAAATGATTAGCTAAATAGCAGTCCATTTGCATGAGTCTTAGGCAGGAAACTTAGCCAATTCTTGCAAATTGCAAACTTCATTTTTCAATGTTTTCATAGCTCTTGATCCCTGTCTTGACGTCACGTGTGAAAAGTTCGCAGTTTGTCGTGCGTTTGGACCCTACGATGCACGATGTGTCTGTGTGACAGATTGTCCTTCTGTGGAACAAAATGTCTGCGCTTCGAACGGACGAAGCTTTACCAATGTTTGTCTTTTCCAACTGGAGGTTTGTCAAACAAAAGCAAACTATACATACTACCATCACGGAAGTTGCAGAGGTATGCATTGTATTTGTATCCTCAAACTAATTCAGTAAAGCCCTTCAGCTCTGTAATCTCATCAATAAATTAAGGTTTCCCAAAGTCAAGGGGTCGAAGAAATGTCCCAAAAGTTCCTCGTTGGTCAGACGCTCATTGCCAGACTGTACAATTTGATCCGTTAACTTTTTATCCTGATAAGCCCGTCCACGTGCAGACCAGCGTGAGCCACGTGAATGACACGAGTAACGTACATGATGCAGCGGTATCATGGGTAGAAAATATAAGTGAAAATAATTTCACGTTCTGTGTGATGGAGTCAGGGAGAAATGAGGGTCCACCTCATGGATTTGCTACCGTGGAGTATATGGCTTATCAAGGAGCCCCAAGTGGAGGATTGGCAGGGGTTGTGTCGATTCCAGAGTGGTGGACTGGAACCAAATGTCAACGCGTCGACATATCTCTGGTGAGCATAAATTTGTAAAAAAAAGTATGCTTTTAAGATATTCAAACACTTCTTTTTCATATTCGTTACACTGTAAAGGGATCATTTTCGTCCACACCTACTGTTTTGGTCACAGCAGAACATCATCGACTTAGTCTTAAACACGACGCTGCATCACTGTGGTTGGAAGACGTCACCAGTTCGTCATTTAAAGTGTGTCTCCGTGAGTTACAAAACTTTGATGGACCTCACCAGGATATCTATGTTGTAAGTATTGAACTAACTACAAATACTGTACTAGAAATACAATGTAGGTAGCAATCCCTCTCCAATTCAAACTAAGCAAACAATTTCCTAGGCTAATAAAACCGAAGCTTGTATTATGAAATGACTCAAATGAGTTGATAGCTAGTATTTCTATTATTCAGGTAAACGTCGCCCGTTTTACTGTATTTTTAAATTTTAAAAATCTAGGCTTGAAACATCAAAAATTATTTATGATGTTAAAGTATAATGATTATTAGTCTAATAGCCATTTATAGTCGGCATGTCTTTGCAAAACGACATATAGAATTAGCTCATATTTCGCAATAATTATAACTGAATGCTTACAGAAACTATTCTTTAGCGACTTTGAATACCATACTAAAATTAGACAACTTTGGAACATAAATGGTCATTTCAAATAAATGCATGATATCGCAATAAAATTACTATCTCTCAAACGCATAAATTGCTTCATTTAGAACTGGCTGGCTTTTGAAACACTTGAACAACCGCTGCTCACTGAACACGGTTATATTAATTTTACCCAGACCTCCCAGGATCCCTCACCAAGCAACAATTATGCTCAGTGTCAGGTAATATCGTAACTTATAAAGATTAATTTGCATGGAGAAATAGATATTCAGGTGGCCATGGGAACAATAATTCGTTCTAACCAAATCATTCTCTACATACAAAAATACTGGCGTACTCAGTATTTTCTCTAATAAAACTGTGTTTTCGTAAAACATTTTATAAAAATATGAACCTCATTATTTCAGGATGTTTCGTTCGTGGCAAATTACGTGAATCCACCCACAGTGTTAGTTTCACCTAAACACAGTACATCGGGAGGAAATGTAGATCCAAAACACAACGCAATCTCCGCTTGGATAGAGGTATTCATCTGCATTGTATTTTTACAAAATTTCTTTAACCATCCTCAAAACAAACCCATGCAATTGGCGAAAGAAAGATCAAAGATCAAAGGATCGTTAACTATATATAGACAGTGCAGTTTATCAACGATTTTATTCTGTCGTACCGCCCTTTCTAGACCATTACTACATCGTCCTTCAAACTTTGCTTTAAAGAATTATACAGCAATAATGGCTATGATGCAGTGACTGTCTCCTATGTTGTTTTAAAAGGTGAGACAGCCTGTTTTGATCATGCTGGGATATCTCTATTAATCTGACAACATTCTCAGTCTTGATTCACATGCATTTTCCATAGAAATTTGTGAGCCGGGATGGGTATATTACCAAGGATTCTGTTATAAAAAAGAATCGACATGCGAGACGTGGACAAACGCATCAGCAGTGTGCCTAAACTATAGTTCGAATCTTGTCGGAATTGAAAGTGCTGAAGAAGATGTCTTTGTTCAACACCTTCATCATGGTCGGCCATCTTGGATTGGACTTAATGACCGAGCAAATGAAGGGGTGTATTTATGGACAGATGGTGGACCTGTCTCGTACACAAACTGGGCTCCAGGGGTATCCACGCCATACAACGAGACGAAAGACTGTGTTGAGAGTTCAGGCAGGAAGTCGAAATACTACTGGCAACCGTCATCATGTACAAATTGCCGTAATTTCACGTGTAAAAAAGGTATCGTATTTATATGTTTTTACCTGTAGAGATATACCTGTACAGCAAACAGAAACTATATATTTCACTATTGTAAGATTTCAAGACTCATTATCGAAGATTTAAAATATCAATTGCAAGCGATTATGAAATAAACTCAAAGGCCTATCTGTATTAGTTATCCATATATGCCTGTAGATTACGATAAGTGCTCTCGAAAAGAAAAAAATTGCGACCAGAATGCTGATTGTGTCAACACTACTGGTTCATATAGCTGTCAATGTCGAGTAGGTTTTACAGGAGATGGTCACACTTGCAGAGGTAACGTTTTGTAACGATTATCGATAATTCTATATACAGGCTTATAAATTGAGACATTTTGATGGATTATATAGGACTGAAAAGCCATATTAATTTTTTATTATCCATATGCCTGTAGATTACGACGAGTGCTCTCAAAACACAGATAATTGTGATCAAAATGCTGATTGTTCCAACACTATTGGTTCGTATAACTGTCGATGTCGAGTAGGTTATGTAGGGGATGGTCACACTTGTAGAGGTAATTATTGTTTTATATGAAAACTACTATGTATCCCCGAAATTAATAAGATATCGACCTTTTATAATATAAACTAAAAAGCCATATCTTCATGATTCGTATACCTGCATGGCTGTAGATCTAGGAGAAAAAAACACTCCACTCAATTTGCATGAGAGGAGTAATTGCTTTCCTTTATTTTACAAAAGAACCTAAACAAACTTTATAAAAAAAACTTACAGTTACAAATATTGCAGAGACTTCATGTTAGGGTATATGGGATATACTCTCCTGCATTTGATATAATTTCGCTATCATCTTAGTATCTTGAATAAGGTTGCGCAACTTGCCGCAGTAATTATGTATATTTACTTCTGTTTTGATAAGTAAGGGCTTAGTTATAATGAAAATAATAAACGACAAAGGCAGAAAATTGCGACGTTTCTAGGTCATGCTGGCCTCATTGTCAAGTGAGTTTAACTGATGACAAAAAATCGATTTGATAAACTACAAGTATAAAATTAGCAATACGAGAAGAGCTTGGCTTTTAGGGAATCAGACTGAACATTAAGTGATGGCTTTTTTGACTGAATAAAAAGAATTTCATAAACAAGACATTTAAACTTATTCATGCACTTCTTAATTACACGACTTTCAAAATCATGTGAAAATGGTACTACCCCAGTACCTCTAATTTTCATACGCTACTACCCCTCGGGACTTACTGTCAAACATTAGTGTAAATAAAAGTTCATAAATAAGCAGTCGCGTAGCCAGCCTGACGATTTTGTCGATTCATTGTTTTCACAACCAATAAACACTAAACTATTATAGCATAGGGGGACAAGAAACGTCGCAATTTTCTGTCTTTATGTCTATTCAATGAAAAGATTGATTTAACTGAGGTAAAGCACTGAGGATAGTTATGTGCACACGAGCGTCGTTTTCGAGCGTTTTCAAAATCGTTTTTGTCCATTTTACTATATTTTGTCTATTTTAGATGCCCTGTCCACACGATCCAAGGAGAAATATGCTTAACATGTTATACTTCTATTGTAAATTGACGGTGTTTGAAATCTTTTCAGTATGAAAACGAATGTGAAAACGCTCGAAAACATTACCGTGTGTACATAGTCTGAAAATCAATTTCAGTCTTATTCGATGGAAATACTGCAGAAGAATCATTATGAACTAGGAAGTGATTCCATTAAATCTCTCGCTGAATGAGTTTGAGAGTGAGTGAGACTCTAAGATTTCTTTCTTTCAAATTTTCTAGCGGTGACAGAGTGCAATAGTTACACACTGCTTGACAGCATCGATCGAAGCGTTAGTTATGTTGGCAACTCTATAATGTGCGATCGTAGTTTATCAACTGGGTGGTACAGATTTGCTGGTAGTGCTGGGACTCAGATGTCGTCATCATGCATTCCGCGATTAAACACCCACATTGCGCAATGTTCCACTCATGGTGTCTCTTGGTTGAATGGAGCTCATCCTACCATAAACGAAGGAAAAGTCACACGTACCGTTTGCTTCAGTTGGTCCGGAAATTGTTGTTATCATCAGCTAAATATTGAAGTATTGAACTGTGGATTGTTCTATATCTACAAACTGGCTTCAACTGTGGGCTGTTCTTATCGTTACTGTGGCGTTGATATCTAAAGCCTGAATTAAACTGAAGTTTAGAACACTTTAAATCTTTAGCTAATCAATTTTGCGATTTTCATGTTACAATGATTTGCACACGGAAGAATTTAAAATATGAAAATAGAAATACCGGGTGTATCAAAAAAAAGAACCCACTATTTTAAAATCAAGCTTTTGTTCGAATTCGAATGCCTTATTATTATGTCAAACTCACAGGTGCTTAAAATGTAAAGCGAGATGCTCAATTTGAATACCTTAAACTAATTACTATATGCTATTCACCAATGCATTATACAGGGTGTCTCAAAAAACGAAAGCTATTGAAATCACTCATTGTTAAAATTTGAATGCCGTGTTCACGAATTTCAGTCCGTGGAGATTTAATGCAACCTATAAAATACTAAATGCTTTGTGTTGCTAGAGAAAGGGGACATGTCGAAGGTCATGGTGCTTGAGTGCATATTGTTAATAAATATCATTTTTGCGAACAGGCAAATTTTACTGCATCATATGCATGCATAAAAATGCTTATGGCAAACATTTACACACCTGTGGGTCCCAACAGAGTGTTTAGGCATTCAAACTCTAACAATTGCATTGTTATGGGTGATTTCAATAGTTTTCGTTTTTTTTGAGACACCCTGTATAATCATGCATTCAAATTCCAACAGAAGCATTCATTGAAATGATTCAATATATTTCAACACAACTTTTTTGAAGCAAGGAAGCATAGGCCATGCTATTCAAACACCTCAAGGTGAATGCTTCATTAACCCTAAATGCAGAAATATTTTCAAAAACGAGAACAAGAAAATACAAAAGGAAGTTCGTTATCCTTCTCTGGCTTCTATGATCGGATGTAGCGAAAATAACGTTCCTTCTGCACAGGTAAATTTCCCTGACGGCTAGTATCTTATGTAATTATAGCTGAATAAAATCAAAAATACATTTTCATTAAGTAATTTTTAAAATTTATTGGATTGCTCAAAGCTAGAGATTCAAATATATCTAGTGACATTTTTAAGACCACAAAATTGGGATAAATATTATGGCCTGTTTATATAGTCAGAATGATCGCCCTTATGCATGATTAGGCAGGATTTAACATCCCTGGCCTGATTGTTATAATACAAATTAACGTTCAGTACTTGGGAAGTACTTTACAAGAGTCAGAAGAGATCTCCGAGATTTAGTATTCCAGTCTAATGAAAAGCGACCTAAAACTGAGCAAGCGAAAATTTCACAATATTATTGTTTATATTTTATGTTTCAAGTATATATCATCCACATATCATTGCCGGTGTCTAGCCTGCAATTGCCAAGAAAAGCTTTTATAGAAGTTGAGCTGATGAAACCCCAAATCAGTGAGCTCCGGTTGCTTATAGTGGCGAGCATCGAATCATGCCGGAAATTCAAAACTAAACACATGCCCAGGGCTCAAGCCATGCTGCTCACGCGGTCATGCAACGGTCTCCCTGAAGATACGATGTTACAAAATCGTAATATGTTTGTACTTATTGTAAAATTTTGCTTGTTTTTCGCGGATAAAATTTACATGGAATCCACCACAGCACTTCTGTGCCATATACGAAGTATAATTATAATTACTTTTATAGTCCTTTCATATTGATTAAGTTCTTTCTTTCTTGATTCCAGTAAACTCACACATATAACAATAAAATCAAGCTATGTAGCATCTCAAAATAGTCATATATAGGATAACATCTATTCCAGAAAAAAAAGAGGTTTCAAGTCACTACAAAGCAAGTCACAATACAACTCTGTTCTCGACTAAAATATTGCCGGTTAACTTTACACTGGCGTTGATGTTGAATTATACTACGCAGTGACCTGGATCCGACTCGATGGCGTACGAGAGTTCTTCTAAACTCGTGGCCAGCGTACGCGGTTGGAGTTTTTTAGGTTTTAAGTTAGACTTGGAGTTAGAATCAGGCAATAGCGTCGTTCATAAAGATCGCCTATGATCATAACAACCGCATTTAAAACAAACCAAAACTTAAAAACCCTTTATGGCTCTGGCGCCCTTGCTGTCCCTCAGGGGCCGGTTGTATCAAAGCCGGATAGCGCTATCCACCGGATAGTGATTTTTTCAACCGTTCTAAAAATGCTCGAAAAGCGATAAAATTTTAGCTTGAGAGCAAAAATTGTTAAAGAGGATCCTCGATTTAGGAATGCTGAGATTTAATCAAAGTTGTGGCAAATAACGGGCGATTTTGAAGCGATTGAAAAAAACACTATTCGGTGGATAGCGCTATCCGACTTTCATACAACCGGCCCCAGAGGAACAAAAAAAAATTCTGAATTTTATTGCGTCCAGTATTGCAATTTTTTGGTGCTAATGTTCTTGGAGTATCATGCAGCTATTCGTTTCAAATTGGGATGGTCATTACAGTGTACACTAATGGACGACTTGCGCTTTAGGCTAATTTCTTATCTCAGCGATAAAAAGGAAATTACGGCCGGAAGTTTGTAACTAATTTAGTTACACATTTCCACACGTAATACAAAAGTATACAAAATATGCCAACTTCGCTTGGCTATTTTTTCCCTATTTTACCAAATTTCGCAGCCAAACTTTGCCTTTGCACTAATTCAACTATATATGCCTTTCTAGCTGTGAAGATTTATTTTCTTCTTATTACTTGAATCAAAAAATATTAAATTAGTCTACAGTGCAAGTCGTCCATTGCTTTCAACCCCAAATCCTCTTGCTCACCGTGAATATTTTCAAATCTCTCAAGTCTCGACCTAATAAAGTAATTAATTCTTAAGTATTTTGAAAGAAGTTAACCGTTTCTATAATTCGATCGCGTTTTAGAAAAACGAAAATAAAATTTAAATGTAACAAGACGCCGGCTCGGCGTTTACCTTGGGTCGGTGCATATAGGGTTTGTTTGGAAACTTTAGTGTGGTATAAACCATGGTTTAAAGACTATTAAACTATTTGCAATGCTAAAGCTCCGTGACTGCATGATTCATTCTGCCACATATGAAAATTGACCATTCCAATGTAATTGTTTACGAATCAGGGTCCCTGACCATCAAATGGCTTTGGCTTTTCTTCTACAACCGACAAAATGAATTGAAGCAATTGTGCTTGCGAAGCTATAACATAACACACACAACTAATTATGCTTGTGAAATTTTATGATGAAGTGACTTGCAAATTTAACGTTTCATACGGATTAAATATTATCATTTAAGTATGGAGTAACCCGGTTTATCTAACACGCAAAGTCGAATCTATCAACGAATCTAAATTATTAAATATTATAATTTCCACACAATTTGGTATTTTCCTTTGTATGGTAACGCAAGCATGCATGAAAGGCATGCAAATCGCAAAGCGTATTTGCATGATAATATGGTATAAATACAGGGGAAGCAATGACCTGTTCATCACGTCTAGCACTACCTAGCAGACACAAGTCTTATATCAGACGTTATAAGCATGTCTTCAGAAGACCAAAGCGCAGAGAATCAATCGTCGAGCTCGGCTACAATCACTTCAGCTTTGATCGATCAATTTAAATCTTATCTGGATTGCAAAATAGACAGCCTTTCGTCGGGCCTGAGTATTGTGAATTCATCTCAAACTAAAAAGCTTGAAAGACAAGCAGAAGGCCGCGCCTTAAAATTTCCCGGCAACAAAGATCAGTTCCTGTTTAACGCAGAAGTGCATGATTTGCTCGACGAATCCGTGGTTTTGATAAAGAAACAAGATACAGATTCAGCATTGACCAAAATAGAAGCAGCTGAGAATCTCATACTTCAAAGGCAGAAGAAGATCAAATTAGCCGATAAGAGCGAAGCTGGCTGGTTGGCTGTTAAAGAATACGAGGCGGAGGAATTAGCTAGCGATTCAGACGACGAGAAAAGAATAAAGAAAGCCCAGGAATCAGCACTTAAGAAACGCAGAAATAATGCTATTAAGAAAGACAAAGCAAGACAATCATCTTATCCGCCTTATTCATGCGCTGATGCTGATAAGCGGTTTTTTCGAGGTATCTATTGCCCTTTCTTTGTTTCAAGTGGCAGGCGAGGCTTGCACGTAGCCTGCCATTAGTATGTGTTCAAATGTGTAAGTGACAGGAAAAGGAAAATGACTTTCCTTCGGACGAGCTAAGCGAGGGAGAAGGAAATGGTATTTTCCTTTGTATGGTAACGCAAGCATGCATGAAAGGCATGCAAATCGCAAAGCGTATTTGCATGATAATATGGTATAAATACAGGGGAAGCAATGACCTGTTCATCACGTCTAGCACTACCTAGCAGACACAAGTCTTATATCAGACGTTTGATGCTTCTTTATTCCTAAATTGCCTGTTTGTTTTTCGTTATTTCCTGTTATTCCTATTGCTCCCTGTGTATAAATCTTGTTATAGGCCGTAGAGTCCCAAATCCATCAGATATGTGCTTCCGATGTGGGAAGAAAGGGCACTGGAGCAATAGCTGTGCAAGATTTGGATTTTCAAGGCCGATGCAGCAGCCAACTTCAGGATTCCCACACAGGTCCGCAGCCACGTCCAATCCCCCGGAACGAGGAGTTACACCTATCTGAGCAACAACTGGATGATTCAGATATCTTACAAGATAATTATGATTTGATTCAGGTACAACGTTTTATTGACGCATGTGAACTTGAAGAGTTTGTGAGTGAAAAAACCAGCGTGCTACCAATAGTTAAAGGCAGACTTAGTTCGCATATCAAATTCTGGGAGGACATTGGGGCTTCCGAATTTATTTTAAATACCATACGAACTGGATACAAGATTCCATTTTACACCTCACCAACCCCCAAGTCCTTTCCTAACAACCAATCAGCCTTAAATAATTCGAAATTTGTCATTGACTCCGTATCAGAGTTACTATCCTCTAGCAGAATTGTGCGAGTACACACCGTCAACAGAATCTTTTATTCGGACGCAAGTGCCTTAGCCTGTGCAGCTCATTCGGGTGATGGGTCCTTAATTGCTCACCGTGAGTTTTCAGCTGAAGAAAGGGACACGAATTCCACTTACAGAGAGTTAATTGCAATAAAATTTGCTCTTGAAACTTTCGTGCCAATTGTCAAACACAGCAGGATTAAGTGGTTTACTGATAATCAAGTAGCAGCTAAAATAATTCAAGTTGGAAGCATGAAATTTAACTTACACCAATTGGCTTTTAAGATCTTTTCCATTTGCATGGAAGAAAACATTGAGTTAGACATTCAATGGATTCCACGATCTTTAAATGAACAAGCGGACTATTTGAGTAAAATTGTGGATTATGATGACTGGGAAATCACATGGCAAACTTTTCACTTACTAGAAAGCAGATTTGGACCGCACACGGTAGATTGTTTTGCAAATTATCGTAATCACAAAGTCAAAAAATTCTATTCAAGGTTTTGGAACCCAAATTCATGCGGAATTGATGCATTTTTTCAAAGATGGGAGGGAGAAAACTGCTTATTAGTTCCTCCAGTTGCGCTTGTCTCGAAAGTTTTACTGCACATGCACAAATTGAAAGCAACGGGGACTTTAGTTGTACCATTTTGGCAGTCGGCGTCTTTTTGGCCACTACTGGTTTCTCGATTTTCCTCTTACATTAAAGATTATATTGTGCTCGTTGGTAATACAGCCCTCAAACATGGACTTAACCAAAACTCATTACTCGGTTCAAACTCGTGGACAGGGTTCGTAGTAGCCTTTAGTTTGGACTTTAATCTGCGTGTGCTTAATTAATTGTTGTTCATTATGTAGCAATTAATCTACATTGCCCGGAATTCTCGAATTTAATAAATTATTAGAGGTTAATAGTATGGTTGTGCATATTGCAGCATTTGGCAGCGGGTGCTGGCCAAGGAAATAATAATTGAGATCCTAGCTGTTTAGCTCGGGGTCAGGCGGTTGCCTTAGTTTTATTCAAATTGGCACTAATTTTGCTTACAAGCCGGTTGGCTATAGGTGAGCATGTTCCTGGCTAGACTTATCAGCGATTGAATCTTCTACACTACTGTGATATGTTAATTCTAACTGATAAAGATGTACTTGTCTGTTCTTTTATTTTTCAGGACTTAGCTTTTGCATCCTGTTGGGGAATTACAACTATGGAAACCAGAAAACAAATAATTTGTCAATTATTGTCCTCTCGGGCGAATTCAACCGTGAAATCATATATTGCCCAATACCGGAAGTTTATCCAATTTGTAAGCCAGAATTCTAAGCTTACTCGTGAGTTGCCAATTAGCAGTACAGTCATTTCTCAATATTTGTCCCATCTTCTCCTTGCCAACAAATCCCACAATGTCGTTATACAACCCCAGTGTGCTTTAAAGTGGATCCACGATCTTCTCCCACTATCTTCTAACCCAGCGGATACGGCTATGATCAAAAACATCGTGGAGGCAAGTAAGAGACTCTGTTCCAAACCTTGTTCCAGAAAAGAACCCTTATCTATAGAGAACCTCGAAGCTGTTGTTTTACGATTTGCCTCACCTAATAGTGACTTAAAAGATATTCGAACAGCACTCCTGTTTGTCCTGGGTTTTTCTGGGTTATTTCGAGCTAATGAGCTAATCAACATCCAAGCTAAGCACATCACAATCAACTCCGATCATTTGGCCATCGTAGTTCCAAAAAGCAAAACAGATCAATATCGAGAGGGCAATACAGTGTTTATTTCAAAATCTAACGGAATTGTGTGTCCACATACTTTGCTTCTAACATATTTTTCTTTAGCTCAGATTGTTCCAAATTCAGATGAGTATATTTTCAGATCAATCCAAGCTCCTCGAAGAGGAGCAACGAAAGCTACTTTGGGCCCGAGACGTCTAAGCTACACAAGATGTCGTGAATTAGTGAAAGAGGGAGTTCAAATTATTGGTCTAGATCCGAAAAAATACAGTACTCATAGTTTGCGATCTGGAGGAGCGACGTTCATAGCAAATTCACAAGCGAACAATCCGAATCTCAATCGATTGTTAAAAATACATGGAAGATGGAGATCAGATTCTTCAAAGGACATTTATATAAAAGATAAATTGAACCATAAACTAACCTTAACCCAATCATTAAATAGTTGATAGAAAGTTGTTATGTTCAGAGTTATAATTATGTGATTGTGATGAGTAATAAACTGCTAGGCGAGTGCTTGCACGTAGCCTGCCATTAGTATGTGTTCAAATGTGTAAGTGACAGGAAAAGGAAAATGACTTTCCTTCGGACGAGCTAAGCGAGGGAGAAGGAAACTGTCATTTTCATGTGTTAATTTACACTCAAAATAAACTTCGATCGTAAATCAATTTTCAGTTTAATTTCTTGGAGATCCATTTAGGCAAATTCAATTTCATCTGTCTTCGCATCAATAGACAACAAGCCAGCTTTGTTAAGCAAAATGGTAAAACGGTGTTTTGATTATGACGTAACCTTTGGAAAACTCCGTAAATGTCGTGCGATTCGAAGATTGAAGAGTAAGAAGTTGCAGTAATTTATGCGCCGTGGCCGCGAGAGAGTCTGCTGCCTAGAGCCCCACCAAAAAAAAAATAATAAAAGAAAACAAAGCCGAATTTATGACCTTGTGTCTACCGACCCAAGGTAATTAATGTAATTATTTGGGCCTAACCAGAAAGTAAAGTCAGATTGCGCAATCTGTATATGTATAAAGAGTTTAGTTTATTAATTTGGAAATACATGTTGAATTGATCATTTTAACTAAATAATTATAATTTGATTCATACCATATAATTATACCGCTGTACCTTAAAATCAAACGTTATCAATCTTTTGATCGAATTTAGTGTTCTAGCTTGCGTGAAGCATCCTTTTAATAGGTGCAAGAAACACTTGCATCCTCAGAATGGCTACAGTCGTTCCAGGCCCAACCAATATAGGCAGGGCAGTCCCAAAGATATGACTCAGAACCAGTACATTGTAAATCATCAAGCAATATCTGTCCAGTACCTTGACCGTAGTGGGCAGATTGATACGCACCATTAGCTCTATTGTATCCAAGTTGACGACATACCACATTGGCGTCATTTATATCCCAGCCATCATCGCACACCGTTCCCCATCCATAAGACGGATGGTAAACTTCAACTCTTCCACAATTGCCTGAAGTTAGACGTATACTAGGGGAGAAACCTATTGCAAAGAATTAAAAAAACAAGCTAAGCCATAGTTGTATGCATTTTCGAATACTGGCAAAACATGGTGATATTAATGACCATACACCCTATCGATTGATCTTAGAAAATATACTAGCATAGCAAGAAAGAGATTACTTAAATTAGTATAAATGCAAAGTTTAGTCTTTGTAAAGTAAACTTTGTCTTTGTTTAGAACGTAAAGACTGAGCCTGAGGCTGAAAGTTTGTATTTCGTTGTGCTGATCGAGGATTAAACGGAATGTTGTAAAATGCGGACTGACTAAACTGGACTTGACTGGATTGGAAAAACGAGGACTTGTAAATCTCGAACTTGTACCGTAACTATATAGAACGATAATTGGGGGGTGTTTATTCATATATTCAGTTCTGCCCGATGGGTTTCTTTTGTAAGTGCAATAGCTTACATAAGAAATCCTTCGGACTGAACTGAATATATGAATAAACACCCCTTCAATTATCGTTCTAGTTACGGCCCTGTAACGGACTTGTAAATAACGAACTCAGTCCGTGGTATAAACACGGACAACACGGTCTATCTTAATTAATTCAAAAACATGAAGTATATGCCAAAACTATAAACGCATCGTTATTATGTAAATTGTAAAACTAGTGTTGAGAATTGTTCGGCAAATTTGAAAGATGGTATAAGTATTAAATATAAACCTTTTTATTCTAATTTGTCATTGTCTCGTTATCAATGAGCTTTGGGAGCCTTCTGGTATTTTTCTTTAAAGGGGAAAGTTAGTGGTGAGATCTGAGGAAAATGAGGCTTGTTTCCCATCTTTGAGGGGGAAAAGGATTATTAAAGGCTTGTTTCCCCTAATTGAAAACAGTCAAGTCGAACTGATTTATCTATGCCGTTAAAATTCAAAAGAAAATATGCAAATATTTCGATAGTGAACGATTTCGCTGTAAGTGGATATCCGCCTTTAGTCCGTTATTTACAAGTGTGCACTTTACAAGTCCGCATTTTATATTACGGACTTAGTCCGTGATTTATAAGTCCGTGCTTTACATGCAAGTCCACGTTTTTCCGAGAAAAAAATATTTTAAGAAAAAAGATACAAACTCACATGTCGAAGGAGTGGATTGACTCCACGTGGCGCTGGATGAACAGGTGGTAGAAAAAGCACCATCCACCGATTCACCAGTGTAATGACAACGGAATGTGACCGTGTGACCCGGGGTGAAATCTGAACCAACAGCGTATCCTCTCTGTGGGTAGCCTGGATCTCCACAATTGACTGAAGAAAATGATACTGTTATCATGCATGCATTAGTAGGAAATTTTGCAATAGCATGGGCTTAATTAAGGTGAAGAATTTTTCATTCTTTGTAAAATGTCGCGTAATGATCGTTCCTTTGAAATATCAAGCGGAACTAATCCCATTAATTGAGCTTAACTTAAAACATTTCAAATCTGCCATTATTATCCCATGTGTATGGAAAATTATAGGTTTTCCAGGATTTTTCGCGGGGTAACTCTGAGACTCCGCCTCGTACTCTATACGCCTATGTGCATTATTCACCTGTGCAGCTGTAGCGCCCGTCTCCAATGTAGTTGCTGCGGCATTGACATGTGTAGGAGCCGGCATTGTTGATACAATTCGCCAAATGGTGGCACGTGTGAGTTCCACTGGAGCACTCGTCGATGTCTACAGTAACATAAATTTATTGAGCTATCAATTTTAATTACATGTTTACATTTTTTTAAGTT